GAAACTATGGTTACCAGAATTGATGGCAATAACAAGGAAAATTAGAAAATAGTCACTTTGACTTCCCTTAACTTACTATTGTGAATGTTTACAAAAGGTTGGACTGTTAATTCACTAATTAATTAATTAATTAGAGTTAAAGCCATTTCGCAGAGATGACTTCAGAAATGATCGACTTCATTTTCTTACAGACTCGAATATTTTAACCATTTTTATAGTGTCAAAAAGGTAAATAGAAGAAAGAAAATGAAAAAAAATACTTCCATAATGATAAAGTAAAAAAGACACAGCAAACATTAAGGGCGTGCACAGCGTTTTTCATCTCTGCCCGTTTAGAGTTTATTCTTATTAAAACGGACAAATCATAAGAAACCATTAATGAAAATTGTGACAAAATGTTGTTAGCTTCATCAATTTATTATCATTATTATTCCGTTGGGTTCCGTGTGGAACATAACAGTGCTGCAATAACACATCTCCACTTTATCCTATTCATCACTGCTGTCCTCTTCAGCTGAGTTTATGATTGCCCATAATCTCTCATCTCCTCCATGTCACCTTCGCATCCTCGAGTGATGGCCTGCACTACGCGCGATGTCATTCCACGGCCTCCTCAGAGTGTACCCGATCAATCCATCTCCATTTTCTCTTAAATATTTGTTGTTGGTTTGTCACCATCCAGAGTTTCTCGTCACTAATTCCTTCTGACTGGCCGACCATTCAATCCTCAATATGGAGCCAACCAGCGAAGGGGTCAGCTGTTGATACAAGTCTGTAACTTGTTGGAAATCCTTTTCGTGACGCGTGCTTCACGTTTCTGACTCGTATAGAAGAACTGACTGACTTGACAATTGTGTTGCAATTATGGATGTTATTCTTTATGCTGACTGGGTCAGTGCAGCAGATTTACAAACTGGTTTCATGTTGATGAAGGTGTACCTTGCCTTTCCGATTCTGACTGGCTGGCTTTGACATCTTCATTCATGCCATCCGTCTGTAGTTAAAACTATACTGGCTGTCTAGATAGGTGAAGGGAGTAACCTCTGTCAAATTCCTCTCGGTGATAGTGACTGGAGTTGGTTGTTGTTACTGCTGTTGCTGTTGTTTTGTTATCTTCATCACCGCCATTTTCTCTTCCTTCATATGGAGTCCTATCTTTGCTGCTTCTTCAGTCATTTTGTTGCTTTTCGCTTGCAGCCGTTCAAGTTTGTGTGACATTAGACATATATCAAATCTCTATCTCAACTTCAACAACTTTGAAAAAGCCTTCGACAACATTGACTACGAAATGAAACCTTCAGCAATCTTATTCATCCGCTATACGAAAAATGCCACATGTCTGGTGAACACTCAGCGAAGCTTTTGAAGTGAAGATAGGAGTAGGAAAAGGCTGTCTGTCTGCGTACTACTACTGAAGATATTCCTGATTATGGTGGACTGGTTCACTCAGCAGACCGTGGAAACAGAGAATATACAAGGAGGTTGGACCGACAAGAAGATTCAAGATGACCTGGACTTTACGGATGACTTATGTCTGATGTCACACAACGTCGAAGACCTATAGGTGAAAAATGAAAAGTTGGAGAGAGAGAAGCTGAGAAGACAGGAATTCAAATGAACCTAAAGAAGACAGAGGTGATGGGAATGAACAACAACAAGCACCAGTCACTATCGATGGAAGAGATCCAGATGTCATCGTTTCAACTACAATCGACAAGGATGAGGATGTCAATGGCAGCAGGATCGGAAAAGCCAAGCAATTTGGAAATATGTTGCATTCAGAATTCGGATTCTCTACCCTAGTATCAATTCAGTGGTTCTGAGACTTGGCGCGTCATAGAGAGCATTTCGAAAAGGCTGCGAACTGTGGCCTTTCACTTGATAGTGAAGATTAGATTAGACAGCCATAATTATCCACAGGGAACTGTAGGAATGAACAAACCGGGAACCTACATATTACCTACATATTAGCGTCGGTGGCATAGCGGTCAAGACGCTCGCCGACCATGGACATGGTCCGGGTTTCGAACCCCGGACTCCTTTACCTCCTATACCAGAAATAATGCTGGTGAAGAGGAAAGGTTGGGCATGAGGCTAGCAACCCCATCCTGTAAAATAAACACTGCTACAGAAACTGCAAGCCACTAGCTTGAAGCCCTATGTTCCACTGGGGAACGTGAAGGATAAAAAAAAAACATATTACCCAACAAATATGCTGATAGAAGTAGAGATGGATCGGATATATACGCTGAGGAGACCGATGAGTGACACAAAGAGCCGGTCTCTAAAGTGAAACCCGAATGGGAAACAAACGACGAGTTGGGTGTCCCAGGGTGACACAGAGGAGATCGTGTGAGAAGGAAATGAGAGCTTATGGTAAATCGGCGGGTCAGGTAATAACAACTGTAGAGAAGAGGATGAAACAGAGGTGCTCTTTTGAAGCCTAATGTTCTACTTGGAACTCAAGGCAATAATAGCAATATGATGTGGATTCGGTTGATGGTGGGTAGCTGCGGAATTCAGGATGTGCGTGTCACTGATGAGGAGTTCCAAACAGGACAAATTGCGCATTCTGTATTCAGCTGCTGGTTACTATCAACCAAAATTACACCAAATTAACCTGCAGACATCGTCTAAGCATCAGTTCTACACATCGACATGTTGAGAAAGATCGATCATGTCCATCCAACATGATCAATCAAAGGAAAATAAAAAACTAAACGTTATTAATCTTATTCCCCCAAGTTCTAAGTGGAGCAACAGGCTTAATCATCATCACACCTCCATTTCACTCCCTTTTTACCTGGTTTCGCAAATTGCTTATACGCTTCCATCTGCTCTGCATATTATCTCTTCTACACTAACCTGCGTCGGTGGCACAGTGGTTAGGACTCTCGCCCACCATGCACATACATGGTGCGCGGTTCGATCCCCTGCCGACGCACACCCGATATCAATGGTCGGCCTGCAAAATCTGGGCTACCGATATCCATGCTGAAAATACCATACTTGTACTGAAAATACGGTGTGGCATCAAGCTGTAATCAAAATAAAAAAATTATAAAATAAAAAATGACCTCCGCCCCCCCCTAACTTGTCGTTTTCCATTCAGATTTCACTCTACCGCCTGGCACGTGGTGTCACTCAGCCGAAGTTGAATCCATTTCCATTTCCTTCTCCATATTTGTTCGGTAACAAATTCTTGGTTTGCTCGTTTCTAGAGTTCCGTGTAGCTTATCCTTCCCAGCTGGCCATCTAATCTTCAGTATCGAGCGAAGGTAGCCGTACAAGTTTGAATCCTGCTCGTGACTTATTTAATCTAACCAGAGAATGATAAAAAAGACGGTTGCAGCGAAGAAAATTTCCTTTTCGATGAAGTCACCGTCAACTAGGCCATACATTCGTGTATTCATAGTAAATAGGTGAAAAAGTTGCAGAACTATTTCCGGTCAAAGGTTAAATCAATAAAATTACAAAGTGTAATAAATACAAAGATCGGATACAGAATATAGTAAGGTTGTAGATAGGTTGTAGTATTATCCTAAAAATGTTTCAGGTCAAAGGTCAAATTAGTAAAAATTACATAATAAATGGGTGGGAAAGTTCCAGAATAATTTCCGGTCAAGGATCAAAGTGTAACCAGATTCACTAGATGGTTATAAGGTCAGAAGAAGATGGAAAACCAGGTGTAGAACTAGCAAACCTATCCAATCGCCACAGATATTTTATTATATATATATAAAACCTTGTACTTGCCTGGAATCCGAAAGACAGAACAACGCAGGCTTCTGAACATCTTTAGGTAGACAATCTACCCAATGCGGCTTCTTTCGATGAGAGCAAAAATAAGCATGAGGCTATGGAATATCCTCATTATGTTTGTAGCAAATTCAATAAGTTGTGTAAGATTATCTCTCCCTCTCTCAAGTTAAATATCAACTACAGTTGGTCTGGGTCACAGTGATTTCAGATTCGTTACAGGATTTCATCATGAGCTGACATCAGTTAGAGGATTATTGGAAAACCACCTGGCAGTATTGGACGGCTGTTTCCTCCGTCCTAGTTTAAGATTCTTCAGCTACACGCACCCACCACCAGGGTTTGGACACCGGGCCTTCTCGTTACAAGGCCAGCTAGCTTGTAGATGATTCAGCCACTGGGACTCTATCCAATAGCCAGACCATGAATTCTAACTTCTTCCAATTCATGACATATCCTGACCAATAGCCAATGTCATTGTCGGCTAGCATTTCTCCTCACACCCGACCTGCTCTACCCTGCTGGTCAGGACTTCCCACTAGAACACACCAGGTAACTACCTGTCTGAGATTCGTCAACCAGTTAGTCGATTCAAATTCCTTTCCAGTTGAGACTGTCGTATATAATATTTATACGGGTGAGAAACTTGCACTGCGTGTCATGAAAAGGATTTCCAACAAGTTACAGACTTTTGTCAATGGCTGCCTCCTTCGCTGGATGGTTCCATACTGAAGATCAAATGGCCGGTTAGCCACTAAGAATCGACAACAAGAAACTCTGAATGGCGACAAACCAACCAAAAGCCGATTACTCAACAAATATGTAAGAGAAAATGGAGATGTATTGATTGGGTAAACTTTGAGGAGGCCATCAAATGACATTGAGCGCGACGCAGACCATCACTCGAGTTGAACCCCAACGGGAAGCGACAAGTGGGTCGTCGGTGCGAGGGTGACATGGAGGAGATGAGAGATTACGGCTAATCGTGAACCCGGCTGATGATAACACCAGAAAATAGAACAAAGTGGAGATGTGTTGTACAAGCCCTGTTATGTTCCACTCGGAACCAAAGGCAATAATAATAATAATGTATTATCTTATTTACACATGTTATCCTCACATTAATTAACTTTAACTCATAATATTTACTAAAACAAAACGAAGTGCCATAGTATCAAATTCATAGGAATTTATTTCTACTTATGTGTACAACATCTTGTTATAACACAGTCAGGTTGACTCTGTTCTTTCAAACATTTACAAAAATAGAAGACATACAAATACGGCAGGAAACAAGAACAATGAATGAAGGATACAAAAAGACGGGAAAGGATTTTTTTTTCTAAAACAACAACACCAACAACAACAAGAACAGCAGATTTCTCCATCATTTAAAGTGATTCATTATTTGTTGTATAATATCAGATTTTTTACTCCGACCAGTTGTTGATATTTTAAGATCAAGTGATTTGATTGTATCACGTAAAACTGTCACTGTATACTTATTTAATTGACCAAGTCTCACAGCTGCTTTGAGTTCATCTTCAGATAGAAATGGTTTTACACTTTGACTACTATTACTGTCAGTTGATTGTGAAGTGCAAGCCTTCTGTATTATAGGATAGAGAAAACAAGAGGAAAGGAATTGCATGTAGAATAACAAAAAATTCTTTCTCAAAAAGAAAAAGAAATTATGATAGTTTTGGATAACTGTTTCGTCCCATTTTGGGAGTCTTTAGCATTACGCACACACACACCAAGGGGTTTGAACCCAGGGCCTTCTGGTTACAAGGCTAGCGAGCTCGTAGACCATGAAGCCACTGGGACCAATACTTGAAAATAATAATGGTTTTATTCTGAACAAGCGTCGGTCATTCATGCACGTGTTACGGGGTTCGACCTCCAACCGACATCCTCTTAAACTTCGCTTAGCCAGTAGTATATCAAGTGAAGATGGAAGGTGGGCTTTGGGGCTGCCAAACCCACAGTAATCTCTAGAGTGTATCATTCAATAGAATTTTGTACTGTCCGTAACACTCTCCAACACCCAACACCCCACCAACGTATTTGTCCCTTCGAAAGAGATGAAGAGATTTCTCAGGAGGTAGCTTTTGTAGGGATTTGATGCCTGTCAAGTTTGCCCACGGAGTGATTGATATCAATTAGAGAACCATTGAAAACCAACCGAGGAATACTTTGATTGGACACTAGTCAGTGTCTAGTGTGATGTGTCTAGTCCTTTGTTTGCTGCAGATTGAATTCTATCAGTCAGCTACCTAGAATGGTAGCCACATTGCAAACCTGACTGATAGAATTCAGTCTGCTCCAAAGAAAGGACTCGACACATCACACTAGTCACTGATTAGTGTCCAATCAAAAATATCCAGTACAGTCCTACAGGAGGTCAATCGCGAGGAAGCCTGAATAGTTCAGTGGTAAAGTTTCTGACTGTAGCGCTCACTGAGTGACGCAGGCTCGAGTCTCAGAAGGGAAATGAGCTCCTCCAATGTTGTAAATATGCCTTGCTGACCAGGAAGTATCAACTAGCATGAAACCAAAGTCCCAGTGAGGCTTCCTGCGGAATGCCTCCAACCATCTGGTACCAATCGAGGAATACTGGCCAGCTCTGTTTCTGTTCTCCTAATCCGGAAGTCTTCAGGAGTACGAGTTGAGAAGTCGTGCTAAGGGAATTTCATCAAGGTGAGTCGTTGTCTTTTCATTTGTCCATTCATTTTGAAGTGTTGGTGGGAAGTCATAACCAGAGAGAGCCACAAAATCTGGTAGGAAGATAACTACTCGCCAGCGACAACACTGACTGGTAATCGATCTATATATCCCGGATTGGATGAAGCTAAAATTCACTGGCTGGTCACTGAGTCAGGTCTTAGTGGTTGAATGGTCCACGAGCTTGCTTGCTTGTATTGGGTTTGAACCCTGGTGGTTGCTTACTGCCGATGAGTCTCAAACTAATGGGACTATGCAGCTATCCTCCTTTATGGCTGTGAGACCTGGTCATTGAGAGTGGAAGACATGAAGAGGCCAGCTATCTGTCTTTGATCATAGGTATTGCGTTCTATCTCCATGTTAGGTGGTACAATAGGGTGAGGAATATTGAGGTTAGACTTCGGTCGAGTGATAGGTAGGTGGGAGGGGAAATTAATAGACGAGGCTGTGAAGTTACATCAACTGAGGTGGTTAGGACATGTGTTACGTATACCTAGCCATCGATCACCTTCCTCGACAATGGGTAATGTTAACTGATATAGGGTCAGGTTGGAAAAGAGCTAGCCGCGGTCAAATGAAAACATGGCTTCAGCAGTCAATGAAATATGCAACAGTTAGTTCAGGCCAGCCAGGTAGGAAGGTGTAGACTTCCTGGTTGTGGTCCTCGGGACGGTAAACACCAATGGCTGGAAACAATCGGTGATATGGCTCAAAATCGTCCTCAATGGCTGGCGCAGATGCATCCACTCCTTGTGACTTATAATTTCCAGTGAAACTATATCGTTCTTCGATATTACCATTCTTTTTGCGTCATATCTCTGTTTACTGTCTCTGTTTTGCATTTCCTTTTTAATTTCTTCTCTTGCTTTGTGTGCTACATGGAGTGGAGTGTGGCGACTCGAACTGCTGCACATTGGTGCAAAGTTCTATGCTGAAAACAGACAGAAACAGAATACTCCCTACTGGTTTTTCAATGGTTCTCTAACTGATATCTCAGTCTGTGGAATGTTGAAAGTCATTCAAAAATGCAGACTGAGTACAAATTGTGTTTCCTTAAGAACGTAAGTAGGTGGTTGAAACAAAGTAACAGAACAGCCTGCCTGCTTAAATCATTGGTCTGTTTAAATTCCAATCCAGTATAATGGATAAACTCTTCTCCACATTTCTTACAGTTTTAATCATATAAATGTGTTTTAGGATGGCTAAAGGAACTAGTGTACATTTTTCGTTTGCTATCAGTGTAATACAGAGTGCTTATTAAAGGAGCCGATGGGGAGAATGTGGTAGCGGGTTGGATATGACTCTAGATGGAACAACACACAGGGTTACACGATGTACTGTTGAATATTATTTTGGATGGAGGATTTCACCATGAGCTGACAACAGTTAGAGAACCAATGGAAAACCTGAGAGTTTTGGACAGCTGTTTCGTCCTAGTTTGAGGCTCTTCATCAGTACGCACCCACCGCCAGGGTTTGAGCCCTGGACATTCTGGTTACAAGGCCGACAAGTTCGTAGACCATTCAACCACTGGGACCTGATCCAATGACCGGCCCATGAATTTTAACTTTAGCGAATTCACGACATAGCGCGACCATTTCGCAATGCCTTCTTCGATAAGTTACTGTCTCAACTAGGTTCTGGGTTCGAATCCCGGTGCGTGAGTACTGATGAAGAGTCCCAATTTAGGACGAAACAGCTGTCCAGTGCTCCCAGGTTTTCTAATGGTTCTCTAACTGATGTCAGCTCATGATGAGATCCTCCATCCAATTAAACAAAATCCCTACAAAATCAATACTTTAAAATATTATTTTACTTGAAGATCCTGTACGATGAATACGATGATATTTTGCAAATTCTGGACTATGTGTTAACATACTGTCTACGATAAAGTTATTATTACTGAGTATAATTGAGTAAATTTGATGCAGCGAGCTCTATACAAAATAAATTAGCCCGAGGATTATGGTTCGATGTGTAATGGAGGTAATTCAGAGGTATTTTTGCCGTTAAAGTACCACTTAGTGTAAGTTACTAACTTTGAAATGATTTCCATGATTTCGAAGGGTAACAAGATGTGTTGAACTGTCTTACAGGCAGTCGATACTTAAGAAGCTCTTTACAAAAGTGTATCTGTGGAGGCAAAATTCCGTATTTCTTACAAGTGTACACTACCTGTTGAAGTAATAAATCAATCAATATATTCAATGGTTCATTTGGTCAACATAAAGAAGAACAGTGACCAGAGAGTAGGAATGCACCAATGACCTTGAACGCATATCGTTCATTGGGTGACAGAGCCTGCTATTATTATAGCGCCAGTATGAATGCTGTGAAGGAACGGAAGTGCGAATTTCACTCCTGATCTCGTTTTTAAGTACTGTCTGGACAATAAGGTTGATAGGATAGTATTAAGGTCAGAGTTGTGGATAGGATTAGGGTTAAGGTAAGTATTAGGGTGTTTCATTATTGCCAGTACTCCTCTTTTAAATAAACATAGGAGATGAGAGTATTTCCTTGTTTACATAGATGAAACTATTTTGATTGTTATGAAACTTAAAACCTGATCGTAAGTGGGAACGTATCTTTCAGTTACATCAGGGTAAAATATCGTCTTTCATGTGTTTGACCATTATCATATTGTTTTAACTACAGCCGGATGACACGGATAAAGATTTCAGAGCCAGCCAGTCAGAATCGGAAAGGCAACATGCACCTTCATCAACATGAAGCCAGTTTGGAAATCTGCTGCTGCACTTAGTCAGCATAAACAACAAGATTCGGATTTTCAAAAACAATGTCAAGTCAGTCAGTTCTTCTATACGGATCAGAAACGTGGAGCACGCGTCACGAAAAGCATTTCCAACAAGTTACAAACCTGTATGAACAGCTGCCCCTTCGCTGGCTGGCTCCATATTGAGGATTAAATGGCCGGCCAGGCAGAAAGAATTAGTGACAAGAATCTCTGGTTGGGAATAAACCAACCAACAGCCAGTTGCTCAAGAAATATTCCGTAGAAAATGGAGATAGATTGATCGGGTACACGCTGAGGAGGCCGTTGAATGATATCGCGCGTAGTGCAGGCCACCACTCGAGTGGAATCCAAATGGGAAGTGACAAGTGGGTTGTCGATGCAAGGGTGACACATGGAGAAGATCGTGTGGCGAGGAGCAGGAGGAGGAGATGAGAGATTATAGGCAATCGTGGACCCAACTGTAGCTGATAGCAGAACATAGAACAAAGTGGAGATGTGCTGTTGAAGCCCCTTTATGTTCCCCTCGGAACCCAAGGGAATAATAATTATTATCATATTAATTTCTTCTCGTAAATAAACAGCTTTTTATGTAGAATACACGGCAGGTTCTGTAATCCAACGAAGTCATTGGTTCGTTAGCACTCCACTATCGGTATTCTTTATTCCTAGTGTTTTTTCTCTCGTTAATCTCAATTAGCTCTGTGACTCTTCTAACCTAGGACACCGGCGTAGTTAGTCTCAGTGTAGTGTTAGGTATTTCAGAAGCTACATGCATACAAAAGTATCTTTCAAGCTATGTGCAACGCAAAGGTAAGATTTGGTGGTTAGGGAGAGAAATAGCCACACTAATTACACTGCACAATACCCATTAAAGACATCAAAATTACTACTACTTCTTCCAGTTTAATCTTAATTAATTTAAATTTTATTCTTTGGGGGATTTAATCATGTACTGACATCGGTTAGAGAACTATTGGAAAACCACCTGGTGACACTGGGCAGCTGTTTCCGCCGTGCTCGTTTGAGACTCTTCGGAGGTACGCATCCACCGGGGTTCGAGCCCGAAGACGTTTTAAGTGGTAGCTTTATGTCATGAATTGACAGAAGTTAGAATTCATGGGCCATTAGGTCGGGTCCCAGTGGCCTAATGGTCTACAAGCTTGCCTTATAACCAAAAGATCCTGGGTTTGAACTGTGGCGGTAGGTGTGTACTGATGAAGATTCCCTAACTAGGACGGATGAAACAGCTGTCCAATACTGCCAGGTGGTTTTCCAATTGTTCTCTAACTGATGCCAGCTCTTAATGAAATCCTAAAGCCAATCGAATCCCTACAAACCATTACTTGTAAATTTTATCATTTTTATGTTCCCAGTGGAACATACGGCTGCAAGCTAGAGCTCTTTGAGGTTTCGGTAGCAGTGGTATTTGTTTTTTACGGCATGGAATTGCTAGCCTCATGTCGAACCTTCCCTCTTTACCAGTCTTATTATTATCTTAGCGTGGTAAAGGAGTAAGTCGACCGGGGATCGAACCCTGAACCACCTGCTTGACTGGCCAGCATTCTACCTCTGTGCTACCGACGCACATTTCCATCTACGATGATTATTAGGCGTCAGAAAAATGTCAAAGAAGAAAAAGTACAGTGTAGTCATTACGTGGCATCACGCACACAAGAAAAAACTTACTGAACGTTTCAAGAGATGTTCAGTTCACATGAACAATATTAAGGTTGTGTAAATCAATTTATAATCATTCAAGAATGTGTGGAGTTCTGTACTCTTAACTCATTTACCGTCTACTTCTAATTACAATCATAAAATTCGTTACTGGTCTTGTAAAAATCAACCCATTGACATAATGGAATGTTGTCGTATAAATACAAATATAAGTGGTAAGGTCATTTATGGACATCAACAGTCGGGGGAAGTGGTTAACAAATTTGTTACACTCAAAATATAGAACTGAACAAGTTGACGAGTTGTTTTTTTTTCATGTCAACTAGAGTTATCATTTGAAAGTTTACAACACTGCATATTTGTACAGATCGGTCAGGGTGAAAGTGTTAGTCTACCACTGTGAACATTATCTCAATGAGTTGTTAATCATATCAAAATTCCAGTCCAATAAATATTGATTATCAATTGGTCTGTGATAAAAACAACCAATCAAATTTCATCATTTTATGATAGACACGACCAATAATCGGCTTATGCTGTTGTGTAATTAGTGTTCATGATACTTTTGAATGTTGTCATTATCCGTGTAATCTCACATAAAAGTAAGTGACTCTTTGTCACTCTGTCACTATATGCACGCCAAATGTCGGTCTTCTGAGTCTTCCTATTTATTAGTCAGGATCAGGGAAATCTTCTAGGAGATTGTCTTTTTTATTCCTTCACGTTCCGAGTGGAACATAGGGCAGCTTCAGGCTAGAGGCTTGAAGTTCTGGTAGCAGTGGTGTTTATTTTTACGGAGTGAGTTTGCTAGACTCAACTGGCCCAACCTTCCCTCCTTACCACTCTTAGTGAGGTAAAGGAGTGCGTCGGTGGCTGGGATTCGAACCCCGTACCACATGTGTGGTCGGTGAGCATTCTACCGCTGTGCCACCAACGCACAAGTAGTACTTTCATTATTATTAATGCGTTTTCAAGTTAATATTCACCGACTACAATGAAAAAAGTTCAATCCTCAGATCACGTGCAGTGTCTCAGTGGTAGAATATTCTTTCGCCAATGACTCGCATGGTTCGAGATTCGATTCACCGGCGACGACGCACTCTTAAATCCCGGTTAGTCCGTAGTAAGACAGGTAAAGAAGGAAAGTTGGAAGTGAGAGTAGCAACTCCACCAAGTGAAAAGAAATAACATTTTAAAGGGAAATACTTTTTCCCTCATGTTTCTGTTGTGAAATTATCAGTTAAGCAGTTGATGGATCTATTCAAAATTACTTCAACTTGACACATGCTACAAATGCAATATACATTTCTGTAAAACAATCACTTTCATGGGACTAAATGTAGAATTTGAATGGGTAAGTAAAGGTAAAAATCAATTGACTGAAATACTCGAGTAGATGGATACTATTCACATTAATTAGTAATATTTACTAGATAGATCGAAGTTATTTGATTGGGATAATGTCGAAATTTTAAACAGAGAAAACATCAAAGTGTCAGGGAATTCCTAGAAGCCTGGTACTCAAACGAATATGCGATTAACAAACATGTTATTATAAATGAAATCTATCAACTAATAAAAAGTAAATCACATGTGACGAGAAAGTTTTAAATCCAAGTTAATAAAAATGATCATTAGATGTAAATCCACTACCAGTCACGAAGATGGTTCAAATGAACTGTCGTCAAGATTTGAGAGAATAGTTCTAAAATATTTGGGCGCCGAGTGAGAACTATTCTGTCAAATCTTGACGACAGTTCATTTGAATTATTTTGCAATCGAATTAAATTAACAAAGAAACTGTGTAATTGGAAAAATCATTGTGTTTTCACTCTCCGTTGTCTGCAACAGAATGCAGTAGCTGTCGAGTCACGTGTCAACTGCAGTAGGTCGAATAAAGCAGCTCAATCTTCAAAAAAAAGACAAAGCAATAAGTCCGACAGGGTGCTTATACTAAACTCCAATCCTAAACACCATAATTTTGAAAATACGTCTAATCATAAAATTCTAGATACTAACAGTGTGAACAGATATGAAGGTGTGATGTTAGCTGATGCATAGGAAATTCTTATTAATAAATAAAAAATGGATATGTATCACTAATTATTAATACTTGGTCAAAATTCTGGACTGTCCATATCTTCTCATAGAGACGTTAACAAATGTTTTACAACTGTTTACCCACACACACATACACACTCTGTCTAAAATGTTTAACAAAGGTAGACCAATATTTGTAAGTCCGGGGTCAAATTTTGATCACAGCTGATAAAATTTTGTTTATTATACTTGTTGAATGACTCATGATTGGACAAAGTTTTTAAAAACAAGAGATGTCCCTCTTTTTATATATAAACCTCTGTTATGCTAATTTCGATTAATTTCCCTGAAGAAGTTCGGACTAGATTGCCGAACACAAGAAACGTTGGAATTACTCATTTCAATCTCGCTGAGATTTTACAAATATAATTTTCACGAAGATGGTTGTTGCTAGGAGACACAATTCTATCATCATTCATGGAGGGAGAATTTAAATCAGTTCATTTCATACTAAAACTTTCGCTGAAGATGTTCACCAGAAGGACGACAAAAGCTTCGCAATTAAACCAACCAGCTCCTCAGAGAACACAACTAATTGCAAATCATCCACCTGAGCTACAAATCTTCTCTATTAGATCGAAGTGATCTCAACCCCGCAATGGCGTTCCACTCGTTCGAATTCAAGTTGATTAACGGTCTCCTCTATTTGACTCAAATCAAATCAAACCACTGGAAATTCCAGCTATTTTTGATTACCAGTTATAGTATTATGTAGATCACATTGATTGTGATCTATCTGAAGAATTTCGCCATCTTATGGATCAAACTTCAAGTCGAAGGCTCAGGGTTGAGGGGGGGGCAGGATTAGCCTCTTGCCTCTTAAGACGACCACCTGTCTCAGTCCAGGAGTTCGAGTAGTATGCCGAAATTCGCACATACTATGGGGTTATATTTTGTGACACATCTATTTTTGTGCTCATAATATACCAAGTTTGTGGTGCAATAATAATTATTATTATAAATTAATCAATAGGAAACTCAAAAATAACTTGCTTATTCACCTTTGATGAATTCACTGCCTCCAAGTTGAAACATTGTCTGAAGGCTTCAATTTCTACACTGGCTTTTCTTTTCATAGCTCTAATTTTAGGCACTTTATTTTTGGGGGGGAATAATGAAAAGAAAACAAGAATACAGCCGCACAAAGAAGAAACAGTTTCTCATTTACATCAGTTGAACTAAATGAATATGCGATCAAATAGATTCCATTTTATTTCATCGGAAAAAGTAAACCATAGTTGGGATAGAAAAGGTAAGATTGGATAGAGTTTGATCATGTAATGAGACATCAGTTAGAGAACCATTGAAATGCGGTAGGGAGTACTGGACTGCAGTTTCATTTTAGTTGGGGACTCATCGGCAGTAAGCACTTATCGCTAGGGTTCGATCCCCGGACCTTTTGGTCACAAGTAAGCAAGCTCCTAGATCATTCAGCCACTGCGTCTCAACTCAATTCGCGATTTTTATCACAAACGACCAGCTAATATCGTCGCCGGTAAGTAATTATCTTCCTACCAAACTTCTTGGACCCTTCTGGTCACGACTTCTCACTAGGACTCACATCCAGGCAACTTCATCCTGCAGCCAGTCACTTCCGAGCATCCGACTAGTTTTCATGAGTTCGGAGTTGGAAAAGAACATGTGGTGTGACAGGGCATTTGAAATAGTGAACATTTTTATAAACTGAATCACACTTACATTTCCATGTAGTTGGAAATATGACCTGTGACGACCAATGATACTGTCCCGGATCACTCAAAAACCTCGATAGACGGAGCAGGATTCGAAAGCATAACCCAGTGGTTAGAAGTTAAGTATCTAGATCAGTGAGTTCCATAGGTCCATATTAGGCTCGGTGGTTCACTGATCAGTCGACTAAATTACAAGAGTTAGTCATCGGTCTGACAGTTAAGGTTAACAATTCAGGTTGGGTGGCTATGAATTAACCGACGGTATACTTCGATTAGACACTAGCTAGAAACTAATGTCATCCGCCCAGTTCATCGAATGATGACCCAAGTTCTAACTTTTTGTAAAAATTTAGATAATATACTTTCATCAAGTGGCTCAATTTACAACGGAAAAGACATCCATGAAATTTCGTCCCACCTCGAAACTCTTTAACAGTTCACACATATATATATTTCGACTATTACGCTATATTTGCCAGCAGAAGCTTTGAAAACGGATCCAGAGGCAACAGCGGACTTGATGACGCAACTACTGGAGAAGGTGTGGAACGAAGGCAAAGTACCCGAGAATTGGAAGAAAGGATACTTATTCAAACTACCAAAGAAAGGAGACTTAAGTCAATGCAAGAACTGGCGCGGAAATATGCTCCTGTCCATCCCAAGCAAAATACTAAGCCGCATCATCCTGGAGAGAATCAAACATGCCCTGGATGAAAAACTTCGACCGGAACAAGCTGGATTCAGGAGAAACAAGTCATGCATTGATCAGATCGCCACATTACGGATCATCATTGAACAAAGCTTGGAATGGCAGTCACCTCTCTATCTCAACTTCATCGACTTTGAAAAGGCCTTCGACAGACACCGTCGATCGAGAGGTGCTTTGGCAAATACTTCGCTACTACGGGGTGCCGCCGACAATTATACATCTCATCCAACAGCTATACGACAATGCTGCATGCCAAGCAGTCCGCAAAGGGGAACTCACGAAATCCTTCGAAGTGAGGACAGGAGTAAGACAAGGCTGACCACTATCGCCAATGATTTTCCTGATTGCAGTAGATTGGATAATGCGACAAACAATGGGCAATGAGGAAACAGGCATAAAATGGACTCACACAAAGAACTTGGAGGATCTGGACTTCGCCGATGATATATGTCTGATTTCCCACAAACTGGCAAACATGCAAGCGAAAAGCAACAAGTTAGCAGAAGAAGCATCAAAGATAGGACTTCAGGTGAACATAGATAAAACAGAGGTGATGAAAATTCCTGGCCAACACCACCAACAGCAACAACAACAACTGACAACAATCAGCATAAATGGAAGGAACCTGAAAGAAACAACCTCCTTCACCTACCTACCTGGAAAGCATCGTTTCAACTACAGGCGGAACTGACGAGGATATCAAAGCAAGAATCGGGAAAGCAAGACAAGCTTTCACTACTCTCAAGTCTGTGTGGAGGTCAACAACTCTCAGCATCAAAAATAAGATCCGGATTTTCAGCTCCAATGTGAAGTCAGTCAGTGCTACTATACGAATCAGAGACTTGGCGCGTAATAAAGAGCATCTCAAACAAACTACAGACCTTCATTAACAGTTGTCTTCGCTCAATACTCAAGATCAGATGGCTGGCCAGAAAACATCAGCAACAGGGATCTTTGGGAACGAACCAACTCAGCAGGAACCGATTGTGAAACAAATAGGCAGGAAGAAATGGAGATGGATTGGCCATACTCTTAGGAAACCATCAAGTGACATCACTAGACAAGCCATCGCTCGAGTGGAACCCGGAAGGGAAGCGGCGAGTTGGTCGTCAGTGTAAAGGTGACTTGGAGGAGGTCATGTGAAGAGGAGAAAAATCATGCGAGCAGACATGGAGCCAGGTGAAGACTCTAGCAGAGAACAGAACTCAATGGAGACGCACGGCTGAAGCCGTATGTTCCACTAGGAATTAAAGGATACAATAATAATAATAAATTACGCTATATTGATCTAATTAACCTCGCCTAGATTACTAGGTCACTAGTATTCTAGCCGGTCCCAAGCCCGGATAAAGAGGGAGGGTTGGGGCGTGGTGCTAGCAACTCCACCCCCAAAACTTAACCAAATTGCTACTAAAACTTCAACGCACAAATATATTCAAAATTCTAAAATTACAAATAGTGACCGTATTTTTCGCTGGAATCGGGGAAGTGAAATGACGCGGGCTGGTGAAAGCCTTCGGGAAGCCAGTCAGCCGATGTGCCTTCTTTCGATGAAAGCGAAAATAAGGATGGGGACGTGGAATGTTCGTACAATGTACGAAGCTGGGAAGGCTGCTCAGGTAGCCGCAGAAATGAGGAGATATAGAATAGAAGTGTTGGGAATCTGCGAGAGCAGATGGAACGGATGTGGAAGGAGCCAACTATCAACTGGAGAGACAATAATCTACTCCGGTCACCCAGAGGACAACCACGAGCACACTGAGGGAGTAGCCATCATGATGTCACCAACAGCGGCTAAAGCTCTCATGCAGTGGGAACCAATCTCCTCCAGGATAATGACAGCCAGGTTCAACTCAAAAGGAAAGAAGGTTACAATCATTCAGTGCTACGCGCCTACAAACGCCTCAGAACATGAGAAGAAGGAGGATTTCTACAGTCAACTACAAACAGTAATGGACAACGTCCCAAAGAGCGATATCAAAATCCTGATGGGCGACATGAATGCGAAACTGGGAGGAGACAATACAGGAAGAGAACTCACCATGGGTCGTGAGGCCCTCGGTGAAATGAACGAAAATGGCGAACTCTTCTCAAACTTCTGCGCCTTCAATGATTTGGTGATTGGTGGCAGTGTGTTCAAACACAGGGATATACACAAGGCAACATGGATTTCACCAGATGGACACACCAACAACCAGAGAGACTTCATTTCAATCTCAAGGAAGTGGAGACGGAGCCTACTGGACACAATATCGAGGAGAGGAGCAGATGTGGGTTCAGACCACTATCTAGTACAAGGGACTTTCAAGGTGAAGCTGAAAGCCTCGAGGATACCTGGAAATAGGCCACAATGCAAGTTCAACACTCACAAACTGAAGGACACAATCACACAGGACATTTTCACTGCAACTATCAGAGCAAAGCAGGAAACACTACGTGGCACCACTGAGGAATCATCCGTGGAAGGCCATTGGAACTCTCTGAAGGTAATTTTCAACGAAACGTGCTCAACGGTTTTAGGAAGAAAGAAGAAACAAGACAAGGAATGGCTCTCAACAGACACTTGGAAACTAATAGAGGAGAGGAGAAAAGTGAAAGAGAAAATGATTCAATGCAAAGATGGACAAGAGAAAGAGACGCTGAGCTCAACTTACACAGCACTGGACAAAGAAGTGAAGAAGAGTGCCAGGAAGGACAAAAGACAATTCTACGACAACCTGGCTACTGAAGCTGAGAAGGCAGCAGGCAAAAGGGACCTGAGGACACTATATCAGATAACCAAGTCTCTATCCGGGAAGAGATCAACACAAGTGAAACCTATAAAAGACAGCCAAGGGAACCCAATTACCAAAGAAGAAAGACAGATTAAACAATGGGCGGACCACTTCAAAGGACTCTTGAACCGACCACCACCTACAACCCGTCCAGTAATACCAACAACAGCACGTACACAACTGCAAGTTGACACCAATCCTCCAACGAAAACTGAAGTCATCAATGCAATCAAGCTTCTGAAAGCTGGAAAAGCAGCTGGACCAGATGGAATACCCCCGGAAGCACTGAAAGCGGACCCAGAAACGACGGCAGATATGCTGACTCCATTATTGCAAAAGATCTGGAAAGAGGGAAAGGTGCCTACTGACTGGAGGAAAGGTTACCTGGTGAAACTACCAAAGAAGGGCGACCTGGGACTCTGCAAGAACTGGCGAGGAATCATGCTCCTGTCGACGCCAAGTAAAATCCTGAGTCGCATCATCCTGGAGAGAATCAAGGACGCGCTGGATACAGAACTCCGACCAGAACAAGCTGGATTCAGGAAAGGCAAATCATGTTCTGACCAAATTGCAACTCTACGCATTATCATCGAACAAAGCATGGAATGGCAATCAAATCTCTACCTCAACTTCATAGACTTTGAGAAGGCCTTCGACAGCGTTGACCGCGAAGTAATTTGGAAACTACTCGAGTACTACGGCGTACCGCAAATATTCATCAACCTTATTCACCAACTGTACGACAACGGCACATGTCAAGTGATCCACAACGGAAAACTCAGCGAAGCGTTTGGAGTAAACACAGGAGTCAGACAAGGGTGCTTATTATCACCAATGATATTCCTAATTGTGGTGGACTGCATTATGCGTCAGACAGTGGGAAACGAGAAGACAGGGATATCCTGGACCGACGTGAAGAACCTAGAAGACCTGGATTTCGCGCGTGGATGATTTATGTTTGATGTCACACAAAATCGAAGACTTACAAGCAAAAACCGACAAACTGGTCGAAGAAGCAGCAAAGACAGGACTCCAGGTGAACATAGACAAGACGGAGGTTATGAAAATAACCAACCAACAACAACAACAACAGCAGCAACATCCAGTGCCAATCACCATCAACGGGAGGGATTTGAAAGAGGTTACTTCATTCACTTCACTTATCTGGGGAGCATTGTCTCAACCACAGGAGGAACGGACGAGGATGTCAAATCGAGAATCGGGAAGGCGAGAAACACATTCATCAACCTGAAACCAATCTGGAAATCTTCGTCACTCACCATCAACAACTAAATTCGGATTTTCAATACAAACGTCAAGTCAATTTTGCTTTACGGATCAGAAACTTGGCGGGTCACCAAGAATATTTTCAACAGGTTGCAGACCTTTATCAACAACTGTCTTCGCTCCATACTGAAGATTAGATGGCCAGAAAGAATCGCCAACAAGAAGCTATGGGAACAAACGAAACAGGAACCAATCGCCCAACAAATATGCAGGAGGAAGTGGAGATGGATTGGACACTCGCTGAGGAGGCCGTTGAGTGACATCGCGCGTCAGGCCCTCGAGTGGAACCCGAAAGGGAAGCGGCGAGTGGGACGTCCAAGGGTGACATGGAGGAGATCGTGTGAGGAGGAGATGAAACAGTATGGAATAACATGGACGCAAGTGAAAAGAACAGCACAAGACAGAAGCAAGTGGAGACGTGCAGTTGAAGCCCTATGTTCCACTAGGAACCGAAGGGAACAATAATACAATAATAATATTGATCTAATTACCAAAACCGTTGGGGTTTGTAGACTCAGTGACTAAATGTTATCGTTTTGGCTTCAAAGTCTGAGGGTCACGAAGTTGATCCGCGTCGTTTCACATTCAGGTTCCACTTAAGCGATGGCCAGGCTCACGATGTCACTAAACCGTCCCTTAAGCCCATGTCCCACTCATCTCCTTCTTCGGAATATTTGTTGGGCAGCAGGTTCTTGATTGGTTCATTTCTAGAGTTCTGGCCAGCCATATGATCTTCAACTGTTGATAAAAAACCGCAGTAGCCTATTGGAAATGCTTTTCGTGACGCCTGAAGTCTCTGACCCACAACACATAGAAGAATTGATCTAACATTCGTGATGAAAATCCGAATTTTGTTCTTTATGTTGATTGAGTGCAGAAACTTTCTACACTGACTTCAGCGTGTTGCCTTTCCGATCCTTGTTCTGCCATGCTTACTCGGTGCTGTCGCGTGTAGTTGAAAAGATACTGACTAGATCAGTGAGAGAGAGAGAGAGAAGTAACCTCTTTGAAAAAATTTGTTTCTGTAGACAGTGACTGGCGCTCGTTGTTGTCGTCGGTTAGTTAGATGTCTTCATCATCTGTGTCTTCTCCTACGTTTACTTGAAGTCCCGTCTGAGACGCTCCTTATGTCAGCTTGTTGGTTTTCACCTATAAATCTTAGAATTTGTGTGACATTAGACACAAATCGTCTACGATCTTCAGATCTTCAAGAATCTTCTTATCAGCCCAACAGAATATACATAATACTAAAATTAGATCAACCATCTAATTAGTTAAATGAAATCAAACGACCAGTACGCGGTGACTCAATAACCAGCTATTTGAACATACTGTCACCTAACAAACATTATCAATTGTTGGTATTAGATGGTTGGAGGTAATCGACAGGAAACCCTGTCTGACCTGGGTTTCGTGCTAGTGGGCACTCACCAGTCAGCAAGGCGTATCTACAACCTCGAAGCAATTCATGTTCCTTCTAGGATTCGAACCCACGTCACCCAGTGAGTACTACAGTCAGAGACTTTGCCGCCACTGAGCTATTTGGGCTGCCACTCGATTGATCTCCTGTAGGAATCTATTGGATATTTTTGATTGGACACTAGTCAGTAACTAGACACATTAGACTAGCTACTGACTAGTGTCCAATCAAAAATAAACATTATCAATAACCAGTCGATTCGAATAAAATAATAAGAATAACTAAAAGATATTTTAACATCCCGTTCAGATAAGTTTTTGTATACCGTTTACAATAGAAGATGATCACACTTCAGAGTAGTGCAGTGTTTTTCTCATGTAGCCTAGAATATTTTTCGACAAGTAAAGACACGCTAACAGACAAAGGTTTGTCATCTCACCAACAAAAAACATCAATTTCACCTGAAGCTCTACATGTGTAACCTCCGCGTTGACCACATGCTGTTTAGATTGAAGTGCTCTCATGAAGTGAACTTACAACCAAGAACTTCGCACAGAAATACAGCACATCAGACTGCCGCACTTCATAAAGCAAACATAAGTGAAGAGAAAGTATCAACAGAAAGAAAGGCACAGAGGAGCGAATAATTACATATCGATTGATTCAAAGCAATTAGTTCCGTTTATGAATTTCGACAACACAATAATAAGACGTAGTTTATCTGAAACGTGTAATGTGCGTATTGGCGCAACACATTTCGGACATTCTGATCACACACACACTGGCGTACTTGTCATACACAGTTTTTATAGAAGGAAAGAGGGCATGAATCATTACAATACAGGTCAGATTGTGTACAGGTCAAGGTCACAAATAATGGGTAGGGAGATGACGCAAAGGTGTGGGTAAGAAAGATAAAAGAAGAAAAAACAAAGCAAGGAAGGGGTTGAAAATATTATGAAGTAAATCGGTCCCTGGTTCTAAATTGGATCACCAAGGCAGGTAATGACAAATAACTTTTTGACAAATAAGACAGGCTTAGGTCTTTTTCATGGTTAAGGCTTCAATGAATTTAAGTATGTAACCCAACCTTGTTTTATATATATCGACTTAAGGGCATTGTTGAAATCAACCTTATGACCTGTCTCCATAATATGCTTCGCTATAGATGATGTTGGACATCTATTTCCGGGGTCAATTGTGTCTGGCAATTATATTTGTTGTTGCAGCCACTTTGTAATGTGGTCTGTAGCCCTAACCTGTAGAGACCGATGGGTCCTCCCTATGTACGTGTGTCCACATATACATGTAAATTGATAAACACAGTGGGATGTGACACTATCATTCGGATAATGTGAGGGTTTACAGGACAGCATAGTTCTCGTTTTCTCTATGAAGATAAGTTTAGCTGCATAATAAGTACTACTGGTTTATGGCCTTAAGTATTTGTTTAGTGAGCAGACTTTGTTGATCACCCCTGAACGGTAAGGATATTTAAACAACCTTTCTGGGAGCTGATTGGATTGCTAAAGCTATATGGCTGACACTTCCGTAATGCCTAATAAATCCCAGCGGGTAATTTTTATCTAACAATACTTCAGTGAGGTGTCGTCTTTCTTCTTCAATTGTATCGGCAGTACATGTACGGTGAATACGATTGAACAAACACTTTACTAACGCTTTTTTATACTGTAGTGGAAAGAAACTATGATAATTTATATACTGTCCCGTCCATGTGGACTTTCTGTAGACAGATTGTTTTACTGACCCATCTTCTCGGCGGGTTATGAGTACATTTAAAAATGGTAGGCAACCATTATTCTCTTTAACGTATGTTAGTGATATACTGCCTTCTTGCCTTCTATAAAAACTGTGTATGACAAGTACGTGTGTGTGATCAGAATGTCCTAAATGTGTTGCGTCAATACATTACACGTTTCAGATAGACTACGTCTTCTTATTATGTTGTCGAAATATCGATTAATGACAACTTCATAAACCTCATAGGTGGCAAAGAATGAATGCTTCTACGCCACCAACAGTCTCCAGCTATTGCTTCTTAGCATGTAGGTCAAGCTAATCGAAGCTTATGTTATGTAACACTCCTCAATGAGGAAGACGACAACTTAGCATGCATAAAACATGTCCCAGCCATATCGATGAATACTGCTTCAGAACTTCATCAACTGACTTTCCCTTCTTCCCTAATACTACTCTACACCTAACCTCATTATTTCCAATCAGATGACACCATCTAACATGGAAAATAAAAACGGGAACATCTATGGTCAAAGACGGCTAGTCTGTTCACACCTCGCCTTTTCAACAACCATATGTCACACAGCCGTGAAGAAGGGTGAAGTGACCTGCTGTGCAATAATCTTGTCCTCTGATCAATAACCGGAGATCACAATTACATGAAAGATGGTGTACATTGGCATGACTACATAACATGCTAACATGCAATTGAATCAACAGTAATAATAATAATAACAGTAATAATGAAATTAGCTTACATGTATGATCAACAATTTCAGATTGAGATTCTCGATTAAATGCTAACGCTTCAAGTAGGGAATAATAACGTTGTAGCAAGGGATTTTCAATTTGTCCAGGACTGAATAGTACCATTAATTTACGTATCATTGCCTTAGCAATATCTACTTGAGATTCATCAGCTAAAGTAAAAAAATTATATTTAAACCATTTTACTTATATGCATTCAAACAAAAATTTAAGTTGAACAAATACAACCTGTGGTAGAATGCTCGTCAGTAAGTCAGTCAATCAGTCACACACGTGGTTCGGATTCGATTCCCAGTCGATACATTTCGTAAACCTTTAGTAAGCCTGCAAAAGAATAGAGGTTGGGTGTGAGTGAGGCTATCAACTTTAACCTACAAAGAAATCAACACCACCGTTACGGAAATTTGAAAGCCTTACAGCTTAATATTCCACTCAGAAAACAAGGACACTTGTTACATATAAAAGCAGAAATTTTGTAAATCATGAAGTTTAGTATTGTGGTGAGAGCTGTCTGATAGCCGAAATTGTAGACAACAGTTTACTTCAGTGTTCACGTCCCGAATAAGGGTCATGAGAATGACAATATCAAAGCTTAACCTTGAGGAACTCACCAACCAATCACAGAACACTTAACGTGTGCAAATACGATTCTCAGATATATGGCCTGACTTTCTAAGAAACGGTTACAAGCAGCAAGAAAACAAACAATCAGAAGACGTTGCTTCCCTGTGAAAACAACGAATAATAATGTACATAAAAATCTATAAATATCTCTTGATTTTCTCAATAAACGATCTGTTGCCTGGCGGCTGTCTTCTGTCGTTACAGTATTATTGGTATTAGATGATTGGAGGCAATCAGCAGGAAGTCTTACCTGATCTAGGTTCCGTGCTGGTTGATACTTACGAGTCAGTAAGGCGTATGTGCAATCTTGAAGGAACTCCTATCCCTTTTGCGATTCGAGCCTAACTGTAAAGCCTTTACATCAATGGTTTAGCGGTAGAACGCTCACTGACCATGCATCACGTCGGCCGGAGTTCCATCCCCGACGGCCGACAAACTCTGACACCTCTCTCTCTCGCTAAGCCAGTAGTAAGGCTGGTAAAGAGGAGAGAGGAAAGGTGGGTGTGGAACCAGCAACCCCACCCCATAAGAAAATAAAACCAATGATAACGAAACTTTAACGCCCTAGCGTGAAGCCCTATGTTCCAGTTAGAACGCTGAGGAATAAACTAACTGACTAACTAACTAACCACTTTTCTAAATACCTATTCACTTTAAATGATGCATCATGAATGTTTAATTGAATATTAAAAGTGAAATTAAAAATTCGATTAGTTAGACGACTTAACTTACCTATTTCCCCAGATGGAATGTCAATATCACGGAAATCGTCGGCAAAGGGTAAAAATATAATATGAAATCCAGGTGGCATGGTCTGAACTTTGACTTCATTCACCTCTTCAGCCTAAACAAGAATAACAAGAATAATAATAATAGTAATCATAGGAGTAAGAATTGTCATATCAGTAACTCAAAAAGTATGACAAACACCTAATGGAAATCGGTTACTTGATATAAACAATTTTCTGTACTAACTTATAGATCACAATGAATGCATAGTGCTGGCATCTGACAGTATCCACATACTTCAGGTTTGATGTCAATGAAATGAGGTCTGAACACATAATGTTATGTGGTTTAAGACAAGTGATAGGAAGCCTTAGAACTTGGTTTCATGCTTACTGACATTGTTGTCAGCAAGGCATATCTACAATCTCGAAGGAACTAATGTCTCCTTGAAGATTCGAACACACAACACGCTGATTGTCTTCAACCAGCTGCCATAAAATCAAACTGAAGAGAGATGGCGAATCATCTAGATCGGTGACTACACAGCAAAATGGACCAATAGGATTCAGTCAGCAGCAATAAACACACCAGGTAATGGAGGCATAACATTGGTCACTTCCTGATAGCCAATCAACGTAGTTGTAGAATGAAATCATGCAGATACAATAATAATAATAGTACATCACTCAGAGAACCATTGGAAAACCAGCCAGGGAGTACTGGAAAGTTGCTTCGTCCCAGTTTGGGACTCTTCATCAGTACTCTCCCACTGGAACTCGAACCCAGGACCTCCTGGTTACAAGGCGAGCTCGTAGACCAAGGAGACCTCGTAAAATACATTGGGAAGTGGTCACGCTATGTAATGAATTGGCAGAAGTTGGCAGTAGTTGTCTAGTGGGCAAAGCTGGAGTACTCCAATAAGATTAGATTATATTCTATCGCCTTTAAAATAAACACACAAAAATATGATTTCAATGTCAGGTGTCTTAATATCTACACCCTACATGGCTATTTCTTACAATCACCGCGTACTGTCTAAATGATTTTGAAACTACTCTGCGAGTTCACTCAATGTCCACAGTCTATCAGGTAATGAAGAATAAAGCTGTAGGACAGTCTTTTATCTCCTCAGTAAAGACATAAGCGTAAATGTTTCGTAACACGTTTGGAAAACAAACGCTAAGTATAGCTGACATACCTAGATCCACACAACCAGCTGAGTTGATATTGACACACTGACAAAACCACCAGTGGTAGCGTATCCACCACGTTCATACAAGTCATTGGTTGTGTAGAGACACATCTTTGTACAGCTTCAGAATGATATCGCTGAACAGAGTAACTCTTCCCTGAACGCTTCTTCTTTTATGTGGCTTAATGAAGAGCCTGATTTTTGTCCCGCCTTGTAGATTCAACTCAGTGTCAGTCGATGATAACTGAAGACAGGCAGATATTTGCTTTCATGTGAACATCTAGTCACTGTAAAGTAGTACGAGTAGTACCATACGACAATTAATTTAACAACCTACTCCACTACTTCTAAATCTGTACAACTAAGAATGATAAGAGAAGACCTAACTAGGAAGTCAGTGCGATTATATACGAGACAGTCATCTGAGTACTGCTCGTGGTAATTGCAGTGAAATAATGACTTGGTTAGTAGTGGTGTGTCTCATGGATCAGCTGGTGGAACTACTATTTCAAATCCTTTAAAGACTTTCACCCATCACTTTCGATAACAGTCTGCCAACTCAAAGACTATCTCAGATGGTCTAACCACCATGTAACCACAACATAATTGTCGAATCCGACGATTATCATGCTATATACCATATCACACGACAGGCAATCGCTCGAGTGGAACCTGAATAGGAAACGACGAGTGAGTCGTCGATGCGAGGATGACATGGAGGAGATGGTGAGGGGAGGAGATGACAGATTCTACGGGCAATCTTGGGCCCAGCTAAAGACGACAGAGAAAAACTGAACAAAGTGGAGATATGTTGTTCAATCCCTATGTTCCACTCGGAATCCAAGCGAAAACTCATAATAATAATAATAATAAAACTAGCTATGGTTTTTAAGCAGGTAAACAACTGATTGAAATTTACTTTTAATCCCATATACTACTTAATAATTGATATAAGTAGTTGGGTATCATTCATATCAACCAGTAATGCTTGCTAGCCAGATAGATGTGATCTAAGCACTAGACTACCGTTTCTCTCGTTTCAGGTAGAGTCCAACTGCAGTGTTCCCGATTTGACACAGTTCACAGATAGGAATCAACTTAAAGCACCCGAAATCTGGATAGCAACATTAGTGTAGTGATGAAACATTGAAAGGTAATTCGCTAATATTAGATGGTTGGAGTCAATCGGTAGGAAACCTTGCCCGATCTAGGTTTCGTGCTAGTTGGCACTCACCAGTCAGCAAGGCGTATCTGAACCAAACAAAGGACTAGACGCAATACACTCGTCACTGACTACTGTCCAATCAAAGTAACAAATACAATCCTACAGCCCGAATAGCTCAGTGGTGGTAACATCTCTGACTGCAACACTGAGTGAGGTGGGTTCGAATCTCAGAAGGGACATGAGTTCCTCGCAGGTTGCGGATAGGCCTTGCTGACTGAAGTGTGATTGCCCAACTAGCACGAAACCTAGGTCAAGCAAGACTTCCTGTGGCCGATTGCCTCCAACCACCTAATATCAACAATTCACAGTGCACCATGATGACGAGTCACCTAGAATGCTGGCGACATTGCATATTTGACTGAGAGAATCCCGTCTGCAGTAAACGAAGGACCAGGTGCACTACACTAGTCACTAGTTACTAGTGTCCAATCAAAGTAATGGTATTCAAATCATAGTGTATGACTGATTTGCTTGGCAGTCAAGAAAGTGGGGCATAAATAAACGATGCAATATACTACTGATAAACTCCTATGAGTAGTTGGATATCCCCTCTCACATCAACCAGAGAATTTTATTCAACAACAACGACGAGTACATCTACTACTCATTTTAACTTTTATTGATTTTATTCGACTAACTGACATAAATCAATATTGATTATTGATTGCATAATACTTAATCAAATCAAACTTCTTCAAGTATACAAATAAATATTCAACAACGAGTGGGGATTACTGTAAAAAGCGGTAATCTACAAAGCAGAGTTAAAAAGAAAAGCAACACGCATATAGAAGTGTAAATATCTCAGCTAACTCTTACATAATATCCTCAAGCCTGGAAAAACTCCCCAGTAGAAACGAAAAAGAATTACTGAAATAGAAACTGCATCGTTTACAAGCAAAACGTCGTGATAAGCAAAAAAACAAAAACAGCTACACACAGGCAAGAATGCAGATGCACACGCACAGGCAGAAACTAAATTTATTAACGGAACGTAATATACAAGTTATAAGTATAAGAATAATTCCATATATATCAAAAATGAAAATAAAAGGAAGAAGTAAGAACGAAGAACACTTTGCTTTTCGACGAGTCTTTTTTCAAGAGCTGTGCAGTCGTATTTATTTTTATTGAAAAAACTCATAAAACCAATCAGATACTGATGACTGTGTCCTAGAAAGCGTATTGCATAATATGAGATGTAATCTATACGGGAATAAACTGCGGGTTTGTTCTCTGAGGAGGAGCTGGTTGATGTAATTGCGAAGCTTTCGTCGTCCCCCTCTTCTAGACATTAACCCCCTTCAGCGCAGATTTTTGAGTATGAAGTGAATTGTATCTCCTGGAAACCCCGTCACGTGATTTACTTTTTATTAGCTGGTAAATTTTGGTTTAAACACTCTGTGATGAAATTGTCAGGATATCCATTCTTTTTGAAGACGGTTAGCAGTCGTAGTAGGTATTTTTCCTCCATTCTCTTCAACACCAGCTAATAAAAAGTAAATCACATGTGACAAGAGAGTTCGAATTCCATGTCAATAAAAATATGATCAATAGAGATGTAAATTAACAACTAGTCATGACAGCGGTTGCCAAGAGATACAATTACATCATTCATGGGGAATTCAAATGAGTTCATTTTATACTAAAAGCTGCACTGAATGTAGGTGTTGTCTAGAAGGACGACGAAGGCTTCTCAATTAAATCAACCAGCTCAGCTCAGCTCAGAGAACACAACTAATCCAATATCATCCACCTCTGAGCTACAAATCTTCTCTATTATTTCTACAACAACGTGTTTATTGGATGTGTCACAGACACAGTGAGACAGTATTCTCATGTTTTGAGCACGCTTTGTTGTTCATAATCATATCAATTGTAATATGAAACATTGAGACTTGATTTTCATAGTCCTAGCCCTTCTTTCTCATTTATCATAAGAGAAATTATTATTTTTCCCTCGAGTTCAGAGTAGAATATAGGGCTTCAACAGATTTTTTGAAAGTGTGTGAGCGGTTGTTACTTCCCAGCTGCCCACACCGTGGAAGTTGATTGATTATTCGGGTACCTAAAACAGAAAGAGGGTTAGTATTGCGTGACCACAGAGCTCAGGGGACAACTGCTTGAGGCCGGTCACACACGGTCTGTATGAACTGGTTTCTTGGATTGGTTCCTTATCAGTAAACTTACTGCCGGTTACGGACCACCGTAGAGTACGCCAGGATGTAGAATTGTTGGAGTCGACTCTATCTAACCCCTGTCTCTCTCCAGAGTGGAGAGACAGCAAGCTGCCATGCTGGTCATCTGAGGGGAACACCTTACTGCTGTTACACCTCTGTTCCCCAGCAGTATGACTTCGCCCACAGATCCCCAGCATAGTGTAAAAAAGAAATTCTTACACAATGCCAGTGACTATTTTAGTCTAATCGCTATCTTAAAAACCTTCCTGGCATGGTAGGACCTGCAGGAACAATAGTTCCAGCCAGTGTAGCTTGTTGGGTCATTGCGATATGCCAGCCCGACCACCACAGTGTCAAAGTAGCAGCTATCGGTCGGGGCTTCAACAGCACTTTAACTGGCTCTACGATTGCCTCTAGGCTCTCATCTCCACCTCACCACACGATCTCCTGCATGTCACCCGCTCAACTACGCCCAATTCGTCGTTCCCCATTTGGACTACACTTGAACGATGGGCGGGCTGGCGATGTCATTCGACGATCTCCTCAGCGTGTACCCTAGGTATCTCCATTTTCTCCGGAATATTTGTGGAGTAAAAGGTTCTTAGTTGGTTCTTCCCCGTAGTTTCTTGTTGCTAATTCTTTCTGGCAGGCCGGCCATTTGATCTTTAAAATGGAGATTTCGAAGGCAGCTGTTGATAAACGTCTTCAGTAGACCGATGGAAACGCTTTTCGTGACGTGGAATGCAAGTTTCTGATCTATATGAAAGTGACTTAACTTTGGTTTTGAAAATCCGAATTTTGTTTATTTACACTGAGTGAATCCAGAAGATTTTCAAACTTGTTTTAGTGTGATGAATATCCGCCGTGCCTTTTCGATTGTGGTTTTCAAAATTATCATTCTTTCTGCCTGCAGTTGAAAAGGTGACTGCTAGATAAGTGAAGGAGACAACCTCTGTCAAATCCCTCCTGTTGATGGTGATTAGCGCTGTTCGTTGTTGCAGTTGGTTGGTTATCTTCATCGCCTCTATCTTATCTATGTTCACCTGGAGTCCTGTCTTCACTGCCTGCTTCTTCAGCCAGTCTGTTGGTTTTCACCTACAAGTCTTCGATACCATATCTTCTCATTTCTTTAGCTACCTGGGCAGCCTTCCCAGCCAACCTTGTACATTGTATGGCCATTCCACGTCCCCATTCTTATCCTTGCTTTCATTGAAAGAAGACACATCAGCTGGTTGACTAGCTTCCCTAAGGCGGGCTTTCACCAGGCTGCTGTGTCATTTCGCCTCTCCGATTCCAAAGAACAATAAGTCTGTTTTTTTTTACATTTTTTTGTATATTTAATATTTTCTCTGGTGAATTGAAGTTTCTCTAGCAGTTTGATTAATTTTGTGGTGTAGGTTCGCTAGCCCCACACACTCAACACTCCCTCTTTACTGACTGGTTTCAACATAGAACTTTGCATCGATGTGCAGTAGTTCCAGTCGCCACACTCCACTCCATGTAGCACACAAAGCAAAAGAAGAAAGTAAAAGAAATGCAAAGCAGAGACATTAAAGAGAAATATGAGGCAAAAGGAATAGTAATATGGAAGAACAATATAGTTTCATTAGAAATTACAATTCATAAGGAGTGGATGCATATGCGCCAGCCATTGAGAACGATCACTTTGAGCCATATCACCGATTGTCTCCAGCCTTCATTGGCTTTTACCGTCCCGAGGAACCCAACCAAGAGGTATACACCTTCCTACCTGGCTGGCCTGAACTAACTGTTGTGTATTTCATTGACTGATGAAGCCATGTTCTGGTTTGACCACCGCTGGCTCTTTTCCAACCTGACCCTATGTCAGCTAACATTACCCGTCGAGGAGGGCGATGGCTAAGGATGCATGCGTAACACATATCTTAACCATCTCAGTCGAGGTAGCTTCACAGCCTCGTCGATTGATTTCCCCTCCCCCTTTAACCACACTTTGGCCCAGCTAGCAAACTACACAACGTTAAGTTTCTTGCTGTACAAAGTGTTATAATTTCATCTGACTCAAGAAGCATCCTATTTCACAGTCATTAGTGAAATTATGACAGCAACAACAAACAAACAAACAAAAAAGACAAGACAATCCAATAATCATCATTAAATCATCATTAATCGCTTACTTGAGGATAAAGTGCAATAAGACGTGGAAATTGTCCTTTTCTTTGAACATATACAGCTATAGCTAAAAGTTTACGATGTAGACAACGATTCAGCAGAGCTGTAAACCATAAACAACTTCCGTGTATCGATGCTTCATCAGGATAAATAAACTGTGCTGGACGAATATAATAGAAACGTTTTAAAAATTTCATTGGTATAAAACCCAACAGATGGATACCTGAAAGAGACGCACAGGGACAGAGAGACAATAAATGCAGCATAAATGAACATTGAGAGAAAACATAAAATAGCGACCACAACAACGACGACAACAACAACCACAATACGAAAACGATAAAACGACAATCGTTTGTGTGAATAAATGCAAGAGGCATATGTACATCATGAAGTCTCTAGTGGTTGGTTTGAGTCAGGCCAAGTAACGAGGTATGGGTTGAAAATTGTTCTCAATGTTATGGATACATTCACTGTCAACAATTCACAGTGCACCATGATGACAAGCCATCTATTGGCATGGTGCCTTGGGTTTGAACACCAGACCATGTGAGGCGTCGTTGGCGAGAGTTCTATCACTGAACCACTTATGTACAGGCTTTACTCGTGGATTCAACTCACTAAAAGGATATGAGTTCCTTCAAGAATGCAGATACACCTTGCTGACTGGTGAGTGCCAACTGGCACGAAACCTAGGTCCAAGCAGGACTTCCTGCCTACCGTCTAACATCAAAAACTCACAGTGCACCGTGATGGTAAGTCATCTAGTGGCATGGTGGCTACACTGCAAACTTGACTGATAGAATTCAGTTTACAGTAAACAAAGGACTAAACTCACATGATACCAGTTACTGACTAGTACCCAGTCAAAAATATCCAATACAGTCCTACAGGAGGAGTAGACACGCTACACTAGTCACTGACTAGTGTCCAACCGAACATATAGACTTTGAATAATTTTGACATTCACTGAAGAGTTTTATTTATTTATTTATTTTGATTTACAGCTTCATTCCACACCGTATTTTCAGTACAAGTGTGGAATTTTCAGCATGGATATCGGTAGCCCAAATTCAGGCCGACCATGGATATCGGGTGTGCGCCGGCAGGGGATCGAACCCCGGACCATGTGCATGGTCGGCGAGAGTCCTAACCACTGTGCCACCGACGCACAAAGAGTTGATGACTGATGAGAGCCTTTAAAGATTGCGAAATACAACGGTTGCTATGAGTCCGTTATACTTGCCAAATGTAGCCATTTTGAGGGTTAGAAGGTACGATCAGTATAAATTAGGCAGAATTAAGGGGGATATAAGGCTGATGCACATCTATGCTAGCTCCAATTCCCATAAATTCCTTACTATACATACTTATTCAATACTGAATTAAAGTTGGGTGTAGCTACCAGTCGCTTGAAGTAGTATCCAGCAATATTTTCGGCTTCCAAAGTTAAATATAGTAAAGTTTCACCACGGACTGTGGAAATCGTAAGTCACGACTTCCATTGAATGTGTCGACAGTTAACTCTAAGTAGCTAATTAGGATTCGGATGGTGCGAACTGAGTTGAACCGAATGAACCACTGATGACATCGACTACAAGCAAGAGGAACAGTTGTCCAGTGGTGGTTAGATCACTTCGATCTGTCTAGCAAGCACTACCGATTGAAGTAAGAGGCATCCAACTACTCATATCCATCTATAAGTAGTATACATCAACTAAATCAAATTTCAGCGGAAAACTTACCAACAGGAGCAATATTTTTCATTGCTTCATTAATTTCATCTTTATCAAAGCATACATAACGACCATCAAGTTTAATACCACGAACTAGATCATGATCAGCGAGTGCATCTTTCACTGGATCATACGAACCATATGGATCTATGGCTTTGTAATATTGCCTTCTTACTGTGATTGGCTTATTGTCATTAGATGAAAGCCATATTGGAGTAGGCAAGTGTACTGGACGAATTAGACAATACACTGAAACACCTAAAGCCAATTCTGGTGATGGTCCAAGATGAAACGGTAAACGGCATACACGTGATCGACGTAATTCATGACAATTAACACTACAGTAGATTTTAAAAATATAGGGGAAAAATATCAATAATAATAATACAAAATTTTCTTCGCTGTTTGTGCCTTTTTCTTATGACTCAATATGGGAATATTTCGTTCACTGTGGTGGTAGAGTATAACTCCATCATGGATAAAACTTTTAATTTGATAGAATCATACACAGTGTTTGTTATACAGTAATATTTACTGATGACCATGTTTCCAGCACAATTTATTACTGCTCATAATCATATCAACGCATTACTCACCCGAATTTCTTGTCTCGTTTATATACATGAGTAAAAAATTGATTAGACATTTGAATAATATCAGTATAAGATAAAGTACATTTGGAAATTATATTAGTTTTTATGAGTTGACCACGGATTGATATCAGTTAGAGAACCATCAAAAACCAGCATGGAGTACTGGACAGCTGTTTCTGTAGTCCTAGTTTTGGGAATCATCGGCTGTACGCACCCACCACAGAGGGTTCGAACCCAGGACCTTCCGGTTACAAGCAAGCAAGCAAGGTCGTATACTATTCAGCCGCTGAGACCCGATTCAATGGCCAGACCATGAATTCTAACTTCTACAAGTCCGTGATTTAGCGCGACTCCAACCAATGTCGTCGGTCGGACATCCATCCTCACACTTGACATCTGGACGGACCTCACTGGTCACGACTTCTCACTAGAACTCCAGGAAATTCCATCCTGTAGCAAGTCAACCGTAAAAACAAATGTAATCCTTAGAAACCAATCATAGAAAATATTATGTGTTATCAATCAAATACAATCAGATGGGAAATAAGGAGAGTGTTTTTATAGTAAAATAAATAAGTAACTTGTTAGAACGTTATAATATGAATTGAAATAGAATTTTAACATTATTTATTATCCGCCTCTGATTTGACTGGCTGGTGGTAATAATATCTTCCATATCTCTGGTATTTGTGCTGAGCCCCTCCCATTGCATGTGTTGGCTGTAGACTCGATGTACAAGGCAGGATTCAGTAATTAATCTCTCTCGCTCTGCACCTACCTATATTACCTTTTAGAATTTTAACCCTCTCCCACACACTCTATTGTGTGGTTGTGTGTTAATGCATGCAGTGCAATTGTTGAGTTTTCTTTTTCTAAATTACTTATCTCCGTGGGATCAATCATACTAACCTTAGCTATATTCTTATGTTCTGATAATCTCACTACTCCTGATCTACTAGTTTAATCTATGTAGTTGACTCAACTCACTCACAGACGTTGCAAAGTATTTTGTAAATTACATTATTTTATTTAATTCGGTCCACCGGGTCCTTTAGCCTACAGAGCTTGTCCTATATGAGTGAGTTTGTAGGTTTGAATGCCACTTTAATTCCTGCTTTATTCAGAAACCTACGGAGGGTTTCAGCTATCGTCTCCTTATATGGTAAAACTGCAGATGACCTATATTCTTTCTTATTTATGTTCTCATTATTAGTTTCACCATTATTTTTGTTTTGCCTCCGACATCTTTTGGTCTTCCTAATAAATTTTGTAGGATAGTTAGTTATTTATCACCAGCGCTTCTTCTCCCATCTGTTTCATTCTATCATTTACGTTTTTTGTTGTACTACTGAGTGCCACCGTTCGGTTTTTTAGAGACACCCTTAACTAAGCCTGCCTCAACAGTTAACGGATGAGACGAATTAAAGTCTAAATATCTATTAGTAGAATGCGTTGGCTTTTTATAAACGCTACGGTACATGCAGTTTACATTCTTCTTCTGTTCGTTTTATTTAACAATCTGTCATCACAGCTAATTCCCCTTGTTTATTTTGCGATTCAAATGTGCATTTTATTTCTTTTACTAGTGAGTTTGAAGTATGCGCTGAAGATGTCACCTAGTAGGGTGATGAAAGCTTCACAAATTAACTATCCAGCTCAGAGAACACAACCACATCAAAAACTGTGTGATTTTATTCAAATAAAATTTTATTCATAATGGAGACAGTGTTTTATTATTATTCCCTCAGGTTTCGAAGGGAGCATAGGATTTCAACAACACCTCTGGATTTCATCCTCTATTTCTCTGCAGTCAACTTTAGCCAGCAACACGATCGCCCATAATCACTCATCTCCTCCTCTTCACACGATCTCCTCTTTATCAACCTCAGATGCCCAACTCGCAGTTTCACAATCGGGTTCTGCTCGAAAGCCTAGCATGCAATGCCATTCAACGGTGTCCTCAGCGAGAGTCTGCTCAGAAGATAACAGGAAACGTAAAAGAAATGGGAAGAATCTAGAATAAACAGCCTACTTAAAATTTGCAATATCAAAAAATTTCCATCTCTCTCTCTCTGTTGAATATATTTTCTCTCCTTCGGTTTGTTTTAATCGATCAACATATAATCTCTAATGGTATTACGTACACTCGTAGGTATTTAAAATGTTTACAAGCTTCTGTTTCGTAATTTCATATTAAACTTGAGGAAAGGCACGATTGTGCGTGGTAGCGTGTTCCAATACAACATGAGATAACTGTTCTTCAGTTATGTATGTCCTTGGGTCTCAAAATCTACTTCTGAACATTCTACAAGGTTGGCTTTCACAGCTACATATCATGGATTTCTTAAAGGAAGGAGACAAAGCAGATGTATCACATAATGGAATGGTTTGTGCTTCAGCTCCGAGAGAGCATTGTGTCACAGGAAGGATATACTGTCAATTAATCAATATTTTACTTGAAGATATTGTACAAAGAGCGAAAATATCATGCAGTAAACTTCTCCGAAAATTCTGAACATTTTATGAATACTGTCCAGAATAAGAATTTCATGGATATATGGAAGATAAGAAAGAGTGAATACGTCATCAGTGTCACTGTGAATGATTTTCAGCCTTATCATCAACAGTATTGAGGATCCTAGAGCTATTTTCATCTGACCAGACCTTGTTCTTTCCGCATCGAATCCTCATGTTAAGTAGTAACACTGCACGATGAGGAAGGCTTCGACTTGGCATGCATAGCGCATACTTGAACTATCTCAATTGCCTTACATCGATTGAATTTCTCTCCTTACCTGACACTTTTTGTTGAACTTAATCATTACTTATATACCATACTATACCATCTGGTACGATAGAGAGAATAAGCATAAGTAATTTCAGAGTGAACATTGGCTAGTTTCTGCTCTTCAAGATCAAATTAAGGATGAATTAGTCTGAATCTATAGAGGTAAGTCATTACCACAGTTTCGTATAAATACTGCATATCTGTCCAAATCAGTTTAAAAGGAATGACTGTATGCATCTTGTGATACAGTATATGTTCCTTTAACAGAAGTGTCCACATTGGTTTAATATTAATTTGTTTCAGTATGGCGGAAATATTCACTCAGATATTTACAGCCGAAATACTCGCTCTCCACTAACATGTCGGTTCAAGTGCAGATACCATTGTAATATTAAGAACAAAATATTCAGCGAAGAGACTCTTTTCAACAACGAATTTATTATCAAGCTGTACAGTTGTGTGCGACGCTCTGTTCTAGAACACGTGATCGCCTTCTGTTACTCTACCAAGCCTGACTATGATTTTAAGATCATCTACCGAATCCATGCGAACATGCCGGAGGCGGTTTCATCATTTTAAACTTCTAAAGACAGTGCAGGCTTTGGCCATTCATGAATTCAAGCCAGACATACCTTTGTGTACAAAAGAAGTATGTACAATCCCTACTTCTGCCTTGGCCGTAGAGCCATAGACATTTATTTATTTATTTTGTTTATTTAGCTAATCTATGTACCTTTCCCTCATTACTACGATTATTATTATTATTATCATTATTATTATTATTATTACTATTCTCATTCTGATATGCTTTCGCTTGTCCCAATTGTCATTCTAAATCCAAAATTATTTTTAAAAATATTGAATTCTATTTCATCAAATTTCACACCATGTTATGTAAAAAACAAAAGTACATACTAATGAGCAATCATATTTAGATGGGTCATGTATGTACTTTTGTTTTTTATTTAACTGAGTAATTGTCATGACCTTTATTTAATTTTATTATTGTTAACCATGTTAGTTGTAAAGCGGTTGTAAGGAAACTACGAAATGAAGATATCATCTCACGAAATTTGTCTTCTTAATGCCTGATTATAATAAAAAATTGTTTTTGAATACACAGGTTTGGGGCTTGAGTTTATGAATAGGTATAGCCCCGGCGTATTTCAATGAGCGCCCTTGACCGTTTATACATGTATATTAACATAAATCGAGTTCACAAATGAATGTGTGATCAGATTGTTCGAAATGTATAGCGAAGATCACTAAACCAAATAACAAAGGTAATAGTACATCTATTATCATATCAAAATAAAGTTTACTAACTTGAGCATCGTTCGTCAGTCCGGTGTCATTTTTCGTTGTCAAGTTGGTCAGTTGGTAAAGATAACAAAATCAAGTGTAGATTGTTAGATTTGATCAGTGTGTAAAATCATAAAAGTAGTGTGTGTTTACATAGTGAACTTGCATATCACATTCGTGTTAATTTTGTTACTTCATGGGGGAAGGGAGCGAGGTGTTGTAACCAGGTGAGATTCTGTTTTAGTCCGTCATTCCTATACAGGCAGTTTGGATTCCACTTGATATGAAGTGCTTCTGATATTAGACGCTCTTTGTGATTTCTGAAATGCTTTTTCTGGATTATTTCAGTATTGTCAAAACTGATTTTGTGGCTTGATTCTATAGTGTGTAGGCAAGCTATAGCTGATGATTTTTCAAGCTGTTCTAGTTCAACCGGATTTATTTCCGGGTGGTCGAACAGATGCTCTACGGTGTTCATTTCTTCTGATTTTGATATATCGAGATGTTTGTCCGATGTATATCGCATCACATTCCAAGCAGTTTATTTTATGGACACAATTAGATAGAGAATCTTTAGGGATTTGGTCTTTTATATGGACAAGGTTGTTTCGTAGTGTGTCTGATGTTTTGAAGAAAACTCTAATGTCGAGCTGATTGAGTACCCTTCTGATATCGTCTGACGTCTCTGTTCTATATGGAATGACGACTGTTGAGGTCCATGTTTTCGGAATGCGTTTCTTGCCATACTTAATGTCTGCGTTGATTTTGTTGATGAAGTTCCTTGGGTAGTTGTTTTGCTTGAGAGTTTCAGTAATGTTTGATATCTCTTCTTCTTTTTCTTTCTCGTCGGTTATCAGAGTGTGCTCGTCTAAGAAGACTTGAAACAACTGAAATCTTGGCGCTGATGGGGCATGATGATCTGAAGTCTAAATATTTATTGGAGTGGGTTTTCTTCATGAATATGGATATACTGAAATATCTGCTTTCCCTCCTCTTAACTATCCAGGCAGTCTAGAAATGGTAGTTCACCGACGTCTGATTCTGCTTCCGAAGTGAATTGGATTCTGGGAGATACACAGTTTATTTTCTCCAGGAATGAACTGTGTAGATCTCGTTTCAGCACTACAAAAGTATCATCTACATATCTTAACCATATTTTAGGAGTGAGTATGCTTGAAAAATGTTATTTTCGAATCTATTCATGAAAAGGTCGGCGACTATTGGGGAGACTGGTGAACCCGTAGCAACACAATTTGTCTATCTATTTAATCTCACTTTAACTGTAAAATAATTACTTTCTAGACAGAATTTTAAGCTCTTAATTATTTCACCGGTGCCCACTGGACATCTTTGTGATAGCGTTGTATCTGATTCTAGTAGACTGGAAATGATATCAAGACTTTCGGTAATGGGGATACTGGTGTATAATGAGTTAATATCATAGCTTACCATAATGTCTTCTTTATCAATTTCTCGGTGTTCTATTTTGGATTTGAAATCATATGAATTTCTTACAATATTTTGAGTGTCATTTTGTAGTGGTTGTAGTACCGAGAGTAAGTATTTAGAGAGGTTGTATGTCCGTGAGTTGGTGAAATCTATTATTGGTCTTAATGGGATTGTGTATTCATGTATTTTTGGTTGACCGTAGAATCTTGAGGGTACATAAGACTTTGGTTTTAATTTTAAACCAGAGAGAATTTGCAATTTTGGGATTCATTTCTTGAATGAGTCTGTTTGTATTTGGTTTGATTTTGTTGAATTCGGCGGATTTCTGCTTCTCTTCAATGAGTGAGTATGGTCATTCAGATAGGTGTTCAATCGCCTTCTTTTCATAATCCGTTCTGTTCATTATCACAATGACGCTTCCCTTGTTGGCTTTTGTTATAACGATGCTTCTGTCTTTCTTCAGATTTCTTGGTGTTTCATATTCTCGTTTGGTGAGTTTAGATGTTATGCTTCGTTGTGTCATTAATATGTGTGATATCTTTTGACGCATAGGTTGTGATTTTTCATTGGTGAATCGTTGTAGAGCAGGTTCGATCATAGGTGCTATTTCCTGGACCGATAATGGCTTTCCAGTGATATTGAAATTCAGACATTTCTGTGGTGATGAGATTCCATTTTCGGTTAGTATCTTGTCTGACATGTTATGTATGGCTCTAATATTCTTCATATCATTTGTGGAGGTTTTCTTTGGTTGTTTCTTTTCTTCGAATTTCAAGAATTTTTGTATTTGTCTTCTCTTAGTGACATTATGAAAATGAGATTCTCGTTCATTAAGCAATTTTTGAAAGGATTCATAGATATGGCTTGTAACAAGTAATGTTAAACAGTCGTCTACATTTTTGATTCTCGTTCGATAAGATTCAATTTTGATGTTGCAGTTATGTATTCTTTCTCGTAAAAATACTTTGGAGGTATGATTTACAGCAAGCATGGATTTGTGCGAATATTCAAGAGGTTCAATTCGTAGTGACTTCGGAATAATTCCACTGTGTAGACAGCGTACTCATGTCCCTTCTGAGATTCTAACCGGCATCACCCATTGCTGCAGTCAGAGACGTTACCAACACTGAGTTATTTGGGCTCGCGATTTACCTCCTGACATATAGAATTCAGTCTGCACCAAACAGAAGGGACTAGACACATCACACTAGTTACTGACTAGTGTCCAATCAAAAAACAAACTTGATGCATTATGGACAACTAACGATTGCACCACACAAATCCTCGTAATTTGTGGGACAGCTGGAATACCGTTAGGATGTGCACATCGAATCGGGTGGTTGTGTTAAACGGGTTCACCTGCTCCCCACCGGAACCTTAAACTTAGAATCTGATTAACAAGGCAATGGGAACAGCGAGTCGGGAGCTACACTCCCATGGTTTCAGGTGACCAAACCATGTTTATACACCATTCGACTCGCTCGGACTCTGGAGCCAATGTAGATCACATGATTGGAATCACGGTTTTCCAGCCACTCTCCCTAGGTAGGTAGGTAGACATCTGCATGTGTATTAGTCCTGTTTCTCCTTCCACTTTTGCAAGGGACACCTCAATCGCATGTAGGCAGTAAACAGGAGTTATATGGCAACTTGAGATCATCTCAAGAGGAAGACTAAAGTATCCCCCCAAACACACACACACAGCCGTACAAGGTCAATTATGAAGCCAATAAAAAGGCATGGTGATAAACGGAAGAATAATGATTAATTAAAAATACAAAAAAATAAAATAAAAAGTAACCCTCAACAACTTGACTTACTTGTTCACGTATAAGTACTCCAAGCTTTTCTCTACTATACACTTGACCAATTTCCTCACCAAGTATTTTATCCAATATATAACTAACAGGAAATGCAATTGGAAAGGTGAGCAGCATAAATGTTTTTGTCAACCATAAAGTTTTTGCACCGATAGCTAATCCATGCCTTGAGCATACAGCTTGTGGCATAATTTCACCAAATAGTGTAATACCAATAGTAGAGGCGATAACAGCGAATAAACCACTCCCAGTTAAATCATCCATAAGTATAGTTAATGATGTATTGACAAGTACATTACCCAGCAGAAGTGTACATAATAACAGATTGCCTTTTTCACGTACAGGACGTATAGCTTTAGCATAACCTTTTTCCTTATGTGAACCAGCACTTTCAATAATTTTTAATTCAGTTTTATCAAGTGACATAAGGCCTAAATTAAGACCACTAAATAAACCAGATAGAAAAAATAATAAAATAATGAAAATAATTTGTACCCATAATGGCATAAGAGCACTTGTTGTCCGAAAGGATAAACGATACTCCGGTGTAGTACCATTAGCATAGATCCATTTACCGTCAATATCAGAATAATTCCGTGGTTGCTGTTGTTGTTGTGGTTGTGATGGTGATGCGGTATTTTCTGATGAATCAATATGTGGAGTAATTTGTACAGGAATAATACGAATGCATAGATAAAAAGCAGCTTCATTACTGGATAATTCACGTAAACTTATAACGCTGGTAGTAACAAATGAACTCTCTGGAAGTGTATTAAATGAACTAGTAACACGTTCATGTTCACATGGTGAATTTGGAGGCTTTCTAATTGATGCAAATGATATATGACTAATATAATCCATTTGTAAACCAAATATAGTTAAATGTATAGGTTTATTAGATTGTAAGACAATGATATGATCTGTTATTGATTCATATGTATCTGGAAGTGCCCCATAAATAATAGGCTCAGTAGAGATTGTATGAATGAGTAATAGTTTTAGAAATACTGTAATTAAGATTATATACAATTTCATTTCCAACTCCTATAGAAGCAAAAATATAAAAGAAAAGAAATGGAAAAATGGAATAAAATAGTTAATATACATGCAATAATGTTATCCAATCCATCCCAAAGAAGATACTTCTGCTTAATCTAGAATTCAAAAGGTGACACTGAAGCAGAAATCCTTTGTAACCTACCTATATTATCTTTTAGAATTTTAACCCTCTCCCACACACTCTATTGTGTGGTTGTGTGTTAATGCATGGAGTGCAATTGTTGAGTTTTCTTTTTCTAAATTACTTATCTCCGTGGGATCAATCATACTAACCTTAGCTAAATTCTTATGTTCTGATAATCTCACTACTCCTGATCTACTAGTTTAATCTATGTAGTTGACTCAACTCACTCACAGACATTGCAAAGTATTTTGTAAATTATATTATATTATTTTATTCGGTCCACCGGGTCCTTTAGCCTACAGAGCTTGTCCATGGGTGAGTTTGTAGATTTGAATGCCACTTTAATTCCTGCTTTATTCAGAATCCTACGGAGGGTTTCAGCTATCGTCTCCTTATATGGTAAAACTGCAGATGACCTATAATCTTTCTTATTTATGTTCTCATTACTAGTTTCACCATTACTTTTGTTTTGCCTCCGACATCTTTTGGTTAGGATATTTAGTTATTTTACACCAACGCTTCTTCTCCCATCTGTTTCATTCTATCATTTATGTATTTTGTTGTACTACTTAGTGCTACCGTTCGGTTTGTTAGACACTAAACTAGGTCTGCCTTAACAGTTAACGGATGAGACGAATTAAAGTCTAAATATCTATTAGAGTGCGTCGGTGGCAAAGTGGTTAGGACTCTCGCCGATCATGCACATGGTCCGGGGTTCGATCCCCTGCCGGCGCACACCCGATATCTATGGTCGGCCTGAATTTGGGCTACCGATATCCATGCTGAAAATTCCATAATTGTACTGAAAATACGGTGTGGAATCAAGCTGTAAATAAAAATAAATCAAAAATCAAAATAAAAAAAATAAAATAAATAAACGCTAGGGTACATGCAGTTTACATTCTTCTTCTGTTCGTTTTATTTAACAATCTGTCATCACAGCTAATTCCCCTTGTTTATTTTGCGATTCAAATGTGCATTTTATTTCTTTTACTAGTGAGTTTGAAGTATGCGCTGAAGATGTCACCTAGTAGGGTGATGAAAGCTTCACAAATTAACTATCCAGCTCAGAGAACACAGCCACATCAAAAACTGTGTGATTTTATTCAAATAAAATTTTATTCATAATGGAGACAGTGTTTTATTATTATTCCCTCAGGTTTCGAAGGGAGCATAGGATTTCAACAACACCTCTGGATTTCATCCTCTCTTTCTCTGCAGTCAACTTTAGCCAGCAACACGATCGCCCATAATCACTCATCTCCTCCTCTTCACACGATCTCCTCAATATCAACCTCAGGTGCCCAACTCGCAGTTTCACAATCGGATTCAGCTCGAAAGCCTAGCATGCAATGCTATTCAACGGTTTCCCCATCGAAAGTCTGCTCAGAAGATAACAGGAAACGTAAAAGAAATGGGAAGAATCTAGAATAAACAGCCTACTTAAAACTTGCAACATCAAAATCTTTCCATCTCTCTCTCTCTCTGTTGAATATATTTTCTCTCCTTCGGTTTGTTTTAATCGATCAACATATAATCTCTAATGATGTTACGTACACTCGTAGGTATTTAAAATGTTTACAAGCTTCTGTTTCGTAATTTCATATTAAACTTGAGGAAAGGCACGATTGTGCGTGGTAGTGTGTTCCAATACAACATGAGATAATTGTTCCTCAGTTATGTGTGTTCTTGGGTCTCAAAATCTACTTCTGAACATTCTACAAGGTTGGCTTTCACAGCTACATATCATGGATTTCTTAAAGGAAGGAGACGAAGCAGATGTATCACATAATGGAATGGTTTGTGCTTCAGCTCCGAGAGAGTATTGTGTCACAGGAAGGATATACTGTCAATTAATCAATATTTTACTTGAAGATATTGTACAAAGAGCGAAAATATCATGCAGTAAACTCCTCTGAAAATTCTGAACATTTTATGAATACTGTCCAGAATAAGAATTTCATGGATATATGGAAGATAAAAAAGAGTGAATACGTCATCAATGTCACTGTGAGTGATTTTCAGCCTTACCATCAACAGTTTTGAGGATCCTAGAGCTATTTTCATCTGACCAGACCTTGTTCTTTCCGCATCGAATCCTCATGTTAAGTAGTAACACCGCACGATGAGGAAGGCTTCGACTTGGCATGCATAGCGCATACTTGAACTATCTCAATTGCCTTACATCGATTGAATTTCTCTCCTTACCTGACACTTTTTGTTGAACTTAATCATTACTTATATACCATACTATACCGTCTGGTACGATGGAGAGAATAAGCATAAGTAATTTCAGAGTGAACATTGGCTAGTTTCTGCTCTTCAAGATCAAATTAAGGATGAATTAGTCTGAATCTATAGAGGTAAGTCATTACCACAGTTTCGTATAAATACTGCATATCTGTCCAAATCAGTTTAAAAGGAATGACTGTATGCATCTTGTGATACAGTATATGTTCCTTTAACAGAAGTGTCCACATTGGTTTAACATTAATTTGTTTCAGTATGGCGGAAATATTCACTCAGATATTTACAGCCGAAATACTCGCTCTCCACTAACATGTCGGTTCAAGTGCAGATACCATTGTAATATTAAGAACAAAATATTCAGCGAAGAGACTCTTTTCAACAACGAATTTATTATCAAGCTGTACAGTTGTGTGCGACGCTCTGTTCTAGAACACGTGATCGCCTCCTGTTACTCTACCAAGCCTGACTATGATTTTAAGATCATCTACCGAATCCATGCAAACATGCCGGAGGCGGTTTCATCATTTTAAACTTCTAAAGACAGTGGAGGCTTTGGCCATTCATGAATTCAAGCCAGACATACCTTTGTGTACAAAAGAAGTATGTACAATCCCTACTTCTGCCTTGGCCGTAGAGCCATAGACATTTATTTATTTATTTTGTTTATTTAGCTAATCTATGTACATTTCCCTCATTACTACGATTATTATTATTATTATTACTATTCTCATTCTGATATGCTTTCGCTTGTCCCAATTGTCATTCTAAATCCAAAATTATTTTTAAAAATATTGAATTCTATTTCATCAAATTTCACACCATGTTATGTAAAAAACAAAAGTACATACTAATGAGCAATCATATTTAGATGGGTCATGTATGTACTTTTGTTTTTTATTTAACTGAGTAACTGTCATGACCTTTATTTTATTTTATTTTATTATTGTTAACCATGTTAGTTGTAAAGCGGTTGTAAGGAAACTACGAAATGAAGATATCATCTCACGAAATTTGTCTTCTTAATGCCTGATTATAATAAAAAATTGTTTTTGAATACACAGGTTTGGGGCTTGAGTTTATGAATAGGTATAGCCCCGGCGTATTTCAATGAGCGCCCTTGACCGTTTATACATGTATATTAACATAAATCGAGTTCACAAATGAATGTGTGATCAGATTGTTCGAAATGTATAACGGAGATCACTAAACCAAATAACATAGGTAATAGTACATCTATTATCATATCAAAATAAAGTTTACTAACTTGAGCATCGTTCGTCAGTCCGGTGTCATTTTTCGTTGTCAAGTTGGTCAGTTGGTAAAGATAACAAAATCAAGTGTAGATTGTTAGATTTGATCAGTGTGTAAAATCATAAAAGTAGTGTGTGTTTACATAGTGAACTTGCATATCACATTCGTGTTAATTTTGTTACTTCATGGGGGAAGGGAGCGAGGTGTTGTAACCAGGTGAGATTCTGTTTTAGTCCGTCATTCCTATACAGGCAGTTTGGATTCCACTTGATATGAAGTGCTTCTGATATTAGACGCTCTTTGTGATTTCTGAAATGCTTTTTCTGGATTATTTCAGTATTGTCAAAACTGATTTTGTGGCTTGATTCTATAGTGTGTAGGCAAGCTATAGCTGATGATTTTTCAAGCTGTTCTAGTTCAACCGGATTTATTTCCGGGTGGTCGAACAGATGCTCTACGGTGTTCATTTCTTCTGATTTTGATATATCGAGATGTTTGTCCGATGTATATCGCATCACATTCCAAGCAGTTTATTTTATGGACACAATTAGATAGAGAATCTTTAGGGATTTGGTCTTTTATATGGACAAGGTTGTTTCGTAGTGTGTCTGATGTTTTGAAGAAAACTCTAATGTCGAGCTGATTGAGTACCCTTCTGATATCGTCTGACGTCTCTGTTCTATATGGAATGACGACTGTTGAGGTCCATGTTTTCGGAATGCGTTTTCGGCCACAATTAATGTCTGCGTTGATTTTGTTGATGAAGTTCCTTGGGTAGTTGTTTTGCTTGAGAGTTTCAGTAATGTTTGATATCTCTTCTTCTTTTTCTTTCTCGTCGGTTATCAGAGTGTGCTCGTCTAAGAAGACTTGAAACAACTGAAATCTTGGCGCTGATGGGGCATGATGATCTGAAGTCTAAATATTTATTGGAGTGGGTTTTCTTCATGAATATGGATATACTGAAATATCTGCTTTCCCTCCTCTTAACTATCCAGGCAGTCTAGAAATGGTAGTTCACCGACGTCTGATTCTGCTTCCGAAGTGAATTGGATTCTGGGAGATACACAGTTTATTTTCTCCAGGAATGAACTGTGTAGATCTCGTTTCAGCACTACAAAATTATCATCTACATATCTTAACCATATTTTAGGAGTGAGTATGCTTGAAAAGATGTTATTTTCGAATCTATTCATGAAAAGGTCGGCGACTATTGGGGAGACTGGTGAACCCGTAGCAACACAATTTGTCTATCTATTTAATCTCACTTTAACTGTAAAATAATTACTTTCTAGACAGAATTTTAAGCTCTTAATTATTTCACCGGTGCCCACTGGACATCTTTGTGATAGCGTTGTATCTGATTCTAGTAGACTGGAAATGATATCAAGACTTTCGGTAATGGGGATACTAGTATATAATGAGCTAATATCATAGCTTACCATAATGTCTTCTTTATCAATTTCTCGGTGTTCTATTTTGGATTTGAAATCATATGAATTTCTTACAATATTTTGAGTGTCATTTTGTAGTGGTTGTAGTACCGAGAGTAAGTATTTAGAGAGGTTGTATGTCCGTGAGTTGGTGAAATCTATTATTGGTCTTAATGGGATTGTGTATTCATGTATTTTTGGTTGACCGTAGAATCTTGAGGGTACATAAGACTTTGGTTTTAATTTTAAACCAGAGAGAATTTGCAATTTTGGGATTCATTTCTTGAATGAGTCTGTTTGTATTTGGTTTGATTTTGTTGAATTCGGCGGATTTCTGCTTCTCTTCAATGAGTGAGTATGGTCATTCAGATAGGTGTTCAATCGCCTTCTTTTCATAATCCGTTCTGTTCATTATCACAATGACGCTTCCCTTGTTGGCTTTTGTTATAACGATGCTTCTGTCTTTCTTCAGATTTCTTGGTGTTTCATATTCTCGTTTGGTGAGTTTAGATGTTATGCTTCGTTGTGTCATTAATATGTGTGATATCTTTTGACGCATAGGTTGTGATTCTTCATTGGTGAATTGTGGTAGAGCAGGTTCGATCATAGGTGCTATTTCCTGGACCGATAATGGCTTTCCAGTGATATTGAAATTCAGACATTTCTGTGGTGATGAGATTCCATTTTCGGTTAGTATCTTGTCTGACATGTTATGTATGGCTCTAATATTCTTCATATCATTTGTGGAGGTTTTCTTTGGTTGTTTCTTTTCTTCGAATTTCAAGAATTTTTGTATTTGTCTTCTCTTAGTGACATTATGAAAATGAGATTCTCGTTCATTAAGCAATTTTTGAAAGGATTCATAGATATGGCTTGTAACAAGTAATGTTAAACAGTCGTCTACATTTTTGATTCTCGTTCGATAAGATTCAATTTTGACGTTGCAGTTATGTATTCTTTCTCGTAAAAATTCTCTGGAGATATGATTTACAGCAAGCATGGATTTGTGCGAATATTCAAGAGGTTCAATTCGTAGTGACTTCGGAATAATTCCACTGTGTAGGCAGCCTACTCATGTCCCTTCTGAGATTCTAACCGGCATCACCCATTGCTGCAGTCAGAGACGTTACCAACACTGAGTTATTTGGGCTCGCGATTTACCTCCTGACTGATATAATTCTGTCTGCACCAAAGAAACGACTAGACACATCACACTGGTTACTAGTGTCCAATCAAAATATCCGCTACAGTCCTGCATGAGGTCAATGGCGAACCGGAATAGCTCAGTGGTAACGCCCCTGAATGCAGCACTGGATGACGCCGGTTCGAATCTCAGAAGGGAGATGAGTTACTTCGAGGTTGCAGATACGCCCTGCTGACTGTTGAATGCCAACTAGCAGGAAACCAAGGTCAGGCAAGGCTTCCTGTATATTACCTCCGACCATCTAATACCAACAGTTCAAAGCGCACCGTGACGGCGACCTACCTAGAATGGTGGCCACATTACAAACCTGACTTATAGAATTCAGTCTGCACCAAACAGAAGGGACTAGACACATCACACTAGTTACTGACTAGTGTCCAATCAAAAAACAAACTTGATGCATTATGGACAACTAACGATTGCACCACACAAATCCTCGTAATTTGTGCGATGGCTGGAATACTGTTAGGATGTGCACATCAAAACGGGTGGTTTTGTTAAACGGGTTCACCTGCTCCCCACCGGAACCTTCAACTTGAAATCTGATTCACAAGGCAGTGGGAACAGCGCGTCAGGAGCTACACTCCCATGGTTTTAGGTAACCGAACCATGTTTATGCACCATTTGACTCGTTGGCATTCTACAGCCTATGTGCCTATGCACCACATGTTTGGAATTAGGGTTTTCCAGCTGCCCTCCATAGGTAGGTAGGTAGACATCTGCATGTCCATTAGTCCTGTTTCTCCTTCCACTTTTGCAAGGGACACCTCAATCGCATGTAGGCAGTAAACAGGAGTTATATGGCAACTTGAGATCATCTCAAGAGGAAGACTAAAGTATCCCCCCAAACACACACACACAGCCGTACACGGTCATTTATGAAGCCAATAAAAAGGCATGGTGATAAACGGAAGAATAATGATTAATTAAAAATACAAAAAAATAAAATAAAAAGTAACCCTCAACAACTTGACTTACTTGTTCACGTATAAGTACTCCAAGCTTTTCTCTACTATACACTTGACCAATTTCCTCACCAAGTATTTTATCCAATATATAACTAACAGGAAATGCAATTGGAAAGGTGAGCAGCATAAATGTTTTTGTCAACCATAAAGTTTTTGCACCGATAGCTAATCCATGCCTTGAGCATACAGCTTGTGGCATAATTTCACCAAATAGTGTAATACCAATAGTAGAGGCGATAACAGCGAATAAACCACTCCCAGTTAAATCATCCATAAGTATAGTTAATGATGTATTGACAAGTACATTACCCAGCAGAAGTGTACATAATAACAGATTGCCTTTTTCACGTACAGGACGTATAGCTTTAGCATAACCTTTTTCCTTATGTGAACCAGCACTTTCAATAATTTTTAATTCAGTTTTATCAAGTGACATAAGGCCTAAATTAAGACCACTAAATAAACCAGATAGAAAAAATAATAAAATAATGAAAATAATTTGTACCCATAATGGCATAAGAGCACTTGTTGTCCGAAAGGATAAACGATACTCCGGTGTAGTACCATTAGCATAGATCCATTTACCGTCAATATCAGAATAATTCCGTGGTTGCTGTTGTTGTTGTGGTTGTGATGGTGATGCGGTATTTTCTGATGAATCAATATGTGGAGTAATTTGTACAGGAATAATACGAATGCATAGATAAAAAGCAGCTTCATTACTGGATAATTCACGTAAACTTATAACGCTGGTAGTAACAAATGAACTCTCGGGAAGTGTATTAAATGAACTAGTAACACGTTCATGTTCACATGGTGAATTTGGAGGCTTTCTAATTGATGCAAATGATATATGACTAATATAATCCATTTGTAAACCAAATATAGTTAAATGTATAGCTTTATTAGATTGTAAGACAATGATATGATCTGTTATTGATTCATATGTATCTGGAAGTGCCCCATAATTAATAGGCTCAGTAGAGATTGTATGAATGAGTAATAGTTTTAGAAATACTGTAATTAAGATTATATACAATTTCATTTCCAACTCCTATAGAAGCAAAAATATAAAAGAAAAGAAATGGAAAAATGGAATAAAATAGTTAATATACATGCAATAATGTTATCCAATCCATCCCAAAGAAGATACTTCTGCTTAATCTAGAATTCAAAAGGTGACACTGAAGCAGAAATCCTTTGTAACCTACCTATATTATCTTTTAGAATTTTAACCCTCTCCCACACACTCTATTGTGTGGTTGTGTGTTAATGCATGGAGTGCAATTGTTGAGTTTTCTTTTTCTAAATTACTTATCTCCGTGGGATCAATCATACTAACCTTAGCTAAATTCTTATGTTCTGATAATCTCACTACTCCTGATCTACTAGTTTAATCTATGTAGTTGACTCAACTCACTCACAGACATTGCAAAGTATTTTGTAAATTATATTATATTATTTTATTCGGTCCACCGGGTCCTTTAGCCTACAGAGCTTGTCCATGGGTGAGTTTGTAGATTTGAATGCCACTTTAATTCCTGCTTTATTCAGAATCCTACGGAGGGTTTCAGCTATCGTCTCCTTATATGGTAAAACTGCAGATGACCTATAATCTTTCTTATTTATGTTCTCATTACTAGTTTCACCATTACTTTTGTTTTGCCTCCGACATCTTTTGGTTAGGATATTTAGTTATTTTACACCAACGCTTCTTCTCCCATCTGTTTCATTCTATCATTTATGTATTTTGTTGTACTACTTAGTGCTACCGTTCGGTTTGTTAGACACTAAACTAGGTCTGCCTTAACAGTTAACGGATGAGACGAATTAAAGTCTAAATATCTATTAGTAGAATGCGTTGGATTTTTATAAACGCTACGGTACATGCAGTTTACATTCTTCTTCTGTTCGTTTTATTTAACAATCTGTCATCACAGCTAATTCCCCTTGTTTATTTTGCGATTCAAATGTGCATTTTATTTCTTTTACTAGTGAGTTTGAAGTATGCGCTGAAGATGTCACCTAGTGGGGTGATGAAAGCTTCACAAATTAACTATCCAGCTCAGAGAATACAGCCACATCAAAAACTGTGTGATTTTATTCAAATAAAATTTTATTCATAATGGAGACAGTGTTTTATTATTATTCCCTCAGGTTTCGAAGGGAGCATAGGATTTCAACAACACCTCTGGATTTCATCCTCTCTTTCTCTGCAGTCAACTTTAGCCAGCAACACGATCGCCCATAATCACTCATCTCCTCCTCTTCACACGATCTCCTCAATATCAACCTCAGGTGCCCAACTCGCAGTTTCACAATCGGATTCAGCTCGAAAGCCTAGCATGCAATGCTATTCAACGGTTTCCCCATCGAAAGTCTGCTCAGAAGATAACAGGAAACGTAAAAGAAATGGGAAGAATCTAGAATAAACAGCCTACTTAAAACTTGCAACATCAAAATCTTTCCATCTCTCTCTCTCTCTGTTGAATATATTTTCTCTCCTTCGGTTTGTTTTAATCGATCAACATATAATCTCTAATGATGTTACGTACACTCGTAGGTATTTAAAATGTTTACAAGCTTCTGTTTCGTAATTTCATATTAAACTTGAGGAAAGGCACGATTGTGCGTGGTAGCGTGTTCCAATACAACATGAGATAACTGTTCTTCAGTTATGCATGTCCTTGGGTCTCAAAATCTACTTCTGAACATTCTACAAGGTTGGCTTTCACAGCTACATATCATGGATTTCTTAAAGGAAGGAGACGAAGCAGATGTATCACATAATGGAATGGTTTGTGCTTCAGCTCCGAGAGAGTATTGTGTCACAGGAAGGATATACTGTCAATTAATCAATATTGTACTTGAAGATATTGTACAAAGAGCGAAAATATCATGCAGTAAACTCCTCTGAAAATTCTGAACATTTTATGAATACTGTCCAGAATAAGAATTTCATGGATATATGGAAGATAAAATAGAGTGAATACGTCATCAGTGTCACTGTGAGTGATTTTCAGCCTTACCATCAACAGTTTTGAGGATCCTAGAGCTATTTTCATCTGACCAGACCTTGTTCTTTCCGCATCGAATCCTCATGTTAAGTAGTAACACCGCACGATGAGGAAGGCTTCGACTTGGCATGCATAGCGCATACTTGAACTATCTCAATTGCCTTACATCGATTGAATTTCTCTCCTTACCTGACACTTTTTGTTGAACTTAATCATTACTTATATACCATACTATACCGTCTGGTACGATAGAGAGAATAAGCATAAGTAATTTCAGAGTGAACATCGGCTAGTTTCTGCTCTTCAAGATCAAATTAAGGATGAATTAGTCTGAATCTATAGAGGTAAGTCATTACCACAGTTTCGTATAAATACTGCATATCTGTCCAAATCAGTTTAAAAGGAATGACTGCATGCATCTTGTGATACAGTATATGTTCCTTTAACAGAAGTGTCCACATTGGTTTAACATTAATTTGTTTCAGTATGGCGGAAATATTCACTCAGATATTTACAGCCGAAATACTCGCTCTCCACTAACATGTCGGTTCAAGTGCAGATACCATTGTAATATTAAGAACAAAATATTCAGCGAAGAGACTCTTTTCAACAACGAATTTATTATCAAGCTGTACAGTTGTGTGCAACGCTCTGTTCTAGAACACGTGATCGCCTTCTGTTACTCTACCAAGCCTGACTATGATTTTAAGATCATCTACCGAATCCATGCGAACATGCCGGAGGCGGTTTCATCATTTTAAACTTCTAAAGACAGTGGAGGCTTTGGCCATTCATGAATTCAAGCCAGACATACCTTTGTGTACAAAAGAAGTATGTACAATCCCTACTTCTGCCTTGGCCGTAGAGCCATAGACATTTATTTATTTATTTTGTTTATTTAGCTAATCTATGTACCTTTCCCTCATTACTACGATTATTATTATTATTATCATTATTATTATTATTATTACTATTCTCATTCTGATATGCTTTCGCTTGTCCCAATTGTCATTCTAAATCCAAAATTATTTTTAAAAATATTGAATTCTATTTCATCAAATTTCACACCATGTTATGTAAAAAACAAAAGTACATACTAATGAGCAATCATATTTAGATGGGTCATGTATGTACTTTTGTTTTTTATTTAACTGAGTAATTGTCATGACCTTTATTTAATTTTATTATTGTTAACCATGTTAGTTGTAAAGCGGTTGTAAGGAAACTACGAAATGAAGATATCATCTCACGAAATTTGTCTTCTTAATGCCTGATTATAATAAAAAATTGTTTTTGAATACACAGGTTTGGGGCTTGAGTTTATGAATAGGTATAGCCCCGGCGTATTTCAATGAGCGCCCTTGACCGTTTATACATGTATATTAACATAAATCGAGTTCACAAATGAATGTGTGATCAGATTGTTCGAAATGTATAACGGAGATCACTAAACCAAATAACAAAGGTAATAGTACATCTATTATCATATCAAAATAAAGTTTACTAACTTGAGCATCGTTCGTCAGTCCGGTGTCATTTTTCGTTGTCAAGTTGGTCAGTTGGTAAAGATAACAAAATCAAGTGTAGATTGTTAGATTTGATCAGTGTGTAAAATCATAAAAGTAGTGTGTGTTTACATAGTGAACTTGCATATCACATTCGTGTTAATTTTGTTACTTCATGGGGGAAGGGAGCGAGGTGTTGTAACCAGGTGAGATTCTGTTTTAGTCCGTCATTCCTATACAGGCAGTTTGGATTCCACTTGATATGAAGTGCTTCTGATATTAGACGCTCTTTGTGATTTCTGAAATGCTTTTTCTGGATTATTTCAGTATTGTCAAAACTGATTTTGTGGCTTGATTCTATAGTGTGTAGGCAAGCTATAGCTGATGATTTTTCAAGCTGTTCTAGTTCAACCGGATTTATTTCCGGGTGGTCGAACAGATGCTCTACGGTGTTCATTTCTTCTGATTTTGATATATCGAGATGTTTGTCCGATGTATATCGCATCACATTCCAAGCAGTTTATTTTATGGACACAATTAGATAGAGAATCTTTAGGGATTTGGTCTTTTATATGGACAAGGTTGTTTCGTAGTGTGTCTGATGTTTTGAAGAAAACTCTAATGTCGAGCTGATTGAGTACCCTTCTGATATCGTCTGACGTCTCTGTTCTATATGGAATGACGACTGTTGAGGTCCATGTTTTCGGAATGCGTTTTCGGCCACAATTAATGTCTGCGTTGATTTTGTTGATGAAGTTCCTTGGGTAGTTGTTTTGCTTGAGAGTTTCAGTAATGTTTGATATCTCTTCTTCTTTTTCTTTCTCGTCGGTTATCAGAGTGTGCTCGTCTAAGAAGACTTGAAACAACTGAAATCTTGGCGCTGATGGGGCATGATGATCTGAAGTCTAAATATTTATTGGAGTGGGTTTTCTTCATGAATATGGATATACTGAAATATCTGCTTTCCCTCCTCTTAACTATCCAGGCAGTCTAGAAATGGTAGTTCACCGACGTCTGATTCTGCTTCCGAAGTGAATTGGATTCTGGGAGATACACAGTTTATTTTCTCCAGGAATGAACTGTGTAGATCTCGTTTCAGCACTACAAAAGTATCATCTACATATCTTAACCATATTTTAGGAGTGAGTATGCTTGAAAAATGTTATTTTCGAATCTATTCATGAAAAGGTCGGCGACTATTGGGGAGACTGGTGAACCCGTAGCAACACAATTTGTCTATCTATTTAATCTCACTTTAACTGTAAAATAATTACTTTCTAGACAGAATTTTAAGCTCTTAATTATTTCACCGGTGCCCACTGGACATCTTTGTGATAGCGTTGTATCTGATTCTAGTAGACTGGAAATGATATCAAGACTTTCGGTAATGGGGATACTAGTATATAATGAGCTAATATCATAGCTTACCATAATGTCTTCTTTATCAATTTCTCGGTGTTCTATTTTGGATTTGAAATCATATGAATTTCTTACAATATTTTGAGTGTCATTTTGTAGTGGTTGTAGTACCGAGAGTAAGTATTTAGAGAGGTTGTATGTCCGTGAGTTGGTGAAATCTATTATTGGTCTTAATGGGATTGTGTATTCATGTATTTTTGGTTGACCGTAGAATCTTGAGGGTACATAAGACTTTGGTTTTAATTTTAAACCAGAGAGAATTTGCAATTTTGGGATTCATTTCTTGAATGAGTCTGTTTGTATTTGGTTTGATTTTGTTGAATTCGGCGGATTTCTGCTTCTCTTCAATGAGTGAGTATGGTCATTCAGATAGGTGTTCAATCGCCTTCTTTTCATAATCCGTTCTGTTCATTATCACAATGACGCTTCCCTTGTTGGCTTTTGTTATAACGATGCTTCTGTCTTTCTTCAGATTTCTTGGTGTTTCATATTCTCGTTTGGTGAGTTTAGATGTTATGCTTCGTTGTGTCATTAATATGTGTGATATCTTTTGACGCATAGGTTGTGATTTTTCATTGGTGAATCGTTGTAGAGCAGGTTCGATCATAGGTGCTATTTCCTGGACCGATAATGGCTTTCCAGTGATATTGAAATTCAGACATTTCTGTAGTGATGAGATTCCATTTTCGATTAGTATCTTGTCTGACATGTTATGTATGGCTCTAATATTCTTCATATCATTTGTGGAGGTTTTCTTTGGTTGTTTCTTTTCTTCGAATTTCAAGAATTTTTGTATTTGTCTTCTCTTAGTGACATTATGAAAATGAGATTCTCGTTCATTAAGCAATTTTTGAAAGGATTCATAGATATGGCTTGTAACAAGTAATGTTAAACAGTCGTCTACATTTTTGATTCTCGTTCGATAAGATTCAATTTTGACGTTGCAGTTATGTATTCTTTCTCGTAAAAATTCTCTGGAGATATGATTTACAGCAAGCATGGATTTGTGCGAATATTCAAGAGGTTCAATTCGTAGTGACTTCGGAATAATTCCACTGTGTAGGCAGCCTACTCATGTCCCTTCTGAGATTCTAACCGGCATCACCCATTGCTGCAGTCAGAGACGTTACCAACACTGAGTTATTTGGGCTCGCGATTTACCTCCTGACATATAGAATTCAGTCTGCACCAAACAGAAGGGACTAGACACATCACACTAGTTACTGACTAGTGTCCAATCGAAAAACAAACTTGATGCATTATGGACAACTAACGATTGCACCACACAAATCCTCGTAATTTGTGGGACAGCTGGAATACCGTTAGGATGTGCACATCGAATCGGGTGGTTGTGTTAAACGGGTTCACCTGCTCCCCACCGGAACCTTAAACTTAGAATCTGATTAACAAGGCAATGGGAACAGCGAGTCGGGAGCTACACTCCCATGGTTTCAGGTGACCAAACCATGTTTATACACCATTCGACTCGCTCGGACTCTGGAGCCAATGTAGATCACATGATTGGAATCACGGTTTTCCAGCCACTCTCCCTAGGTAGGTAGGTAGACATCTGCATGTGTATCAGTCCTGTTTCTCCTTCCACTTTTGCAAGGGACACCTCAATCGCATGTAGGCAGTAAACAGGAGTTATGTGGCAACTTGAGATCATCTCAAGAGGAAGACTAAAGTATCCCCCCAAACACACACACACAGCCGTACACGGTCATTTATGAAGCCAATAAAAAGGCATGGTGATAAACGGAAGAATAATGATTAATTAAAAATACAAAAAAATAAAATAAAAAGTAACCCTCAACAACTTGACTTACTTGTTCACGTATAAGTACTCCAAGCTTTTCTCTACTATACACTTGACCAATTTCCTCACCAAGTATTTTATCCAATATATAACTAACAGGAAATGCAATTGGAAAGGTGAGCAGCATAAATGTTTTTGTCAACCATAAAGTTTTTGCACCGATAGCTAATCCATGCCTTGAGCATACAGCTTGTGGCATAATTTCACCAAATAGTGTAATACCAATAGTAGAGGCGATAACAGCGAATAAACCACTCCCAGTTAAATCATCCATAAGTATAGTTAATGATGTATTGACAAGTACATTACCCAGCAGAAGTGTACATAATAACAGATTGCCTTTTTCACGTACAGGACGTATAGCTTTAGCATAACCTTTTTCCTTATGTGAACCAGCACTTTCAATAATTTTTAATTCAGTTTTATCAAGTGACATAAGGCCTAAATTAAGACCACTAAATAAACCAGATAGAAAAAATAATAAAATAATGAAAATAATTTGTACCCATAATGGCATAAGAGCACTTGTTGTCCGAAAGGATAAACGATACTCCGGTGTAGTACCATTAGCATAGATCCATTTACCGTCAATATCAGAATAATTCCGTGGTTGCTGTTGTTGTTGTGGTTGTGATGGTGATGCGGTATTTTCTGATGAATCAATATGTGGAGTAATTTGTACAGGAATAATACGAATGCATAGATAAAAAGCAGCTTCATTACTGGATAATTCACGTAAACTTATAACGCTGGTAGTAACAAATGAACTCTCGGGAAGTGTATTAAATGAACTAGTAACACGTTCATGTTCACATGGTGAATTTGGAGGCTTTCTAATTGATGCAAATGATATATGACTAATATAATCCATTTGTAAACCAAATATAGTTAAATGTATAGGTTTATTAGATTGTAAGACAATGATATGATCTGTTATTGATTCATATGTATCTGGAAGTGCCCCATAATTAATAGGCTCAGTAGAGATTGTATGAATGAGTAATAGTTTTAGAAATACTGTAATTAAGATTATATACAATTTCATTTCCAACTCCTATAGAAGAAAAGAAAAGAAAAGAGATGGAAAAAGGGAAAAACAAAGTTCTTATACATGCAATAATGTTATCCAATCCATCCCAAAGAAGATACTTCTGCTTAATCTAGAATTCAAAAGGTGACACTGAAGCAGAAATCCTTCGTAAACGCCGCCCCACTTGCCTACAACCGATGTTTTCCTGCAAGAAACTGTTCAGCCAGAACGCGAAAGACAAGCTGTCGCATTGGGCCAATTCAACGTGCATATATACCAGTTTATTTGCTCGTACGAAGCTGAGTACATCGGCCGGACCATCCACCAACTTGAAAAACGCTCTCCTGAACAATATCCAGGCTGTCTAGTAACAGGAGAACAGAAACGTGTATACAGTTCAGTGAGAGAACATCTGTTCAGTTCAGGACATTCAGCACTATTCGAGAAATCCTTCAAAATAATTTACAAGATTCGATCGAAACCCATCAAATGGAGTAAAATTAAGAAATCTGGGCATAACCGAGGCACTAGCTATCAAAAAGCTCAAACCCACGCTACGTATCCAAAAGAAATACCTTCAACCCTTTTCCCTGCCATCGCCATCATAAACAGGTAATTCTTTTAGTAGTGACTATTCTATTGCCTGTCTTATCCAAAACTCCCTGTTTACTAATGTTATTTTTAAGTTTTTCTTAATCCCTCCACTATTTACACTACCATATTTTCATATCCGAACTTCCTGTCTATTTTGTCATTTTACTATTTCTACATATTTAATCCCCGACTGCATAAACAAGTATTCGCCACATTAGTTATGATCCCACTAGATTTCTATATCCGGGCATCCTGTCTATTTTGTCATTTCTCCATTTCTAACCCCTGATTACACAATATGTCAATCTTCTCAGTAATTATGATGCTACTTTGTTTGAGTTTTATCCGTCCCCCTCCCCGTGTTTATTACGGCATTTGAATTCATAATTGTAATTCTAGTAATTTCACCCTTGACCGGAAATTATTCTGGAACTTTCCCACCTATTCATTATAAATACACGAATGAACAGTCTAGTTGACGGTGACTTCAATGCAACTGTCTTTTTATTATCCAATTGGATAATTAAGAAGATATACGTGTATTGATTTTATCCAGTGTTGGTTTACACAGGGGATTTGATTGATTACGGGTTTGGTCACGAGTTGACTGACTGATTGACTGGCTTCGACGTAGAACTTTGCACAGAAGTGCACCAGTTCAAGTTGCCACTCTCCTTCCATGTATCACACAAAGCAAGACGAAAGAGTAAGGTGAGGTTCAACACAGAGAGAGATAATAAACAGAAGTGTGAGAGAGGGAAAGAGAATAGTAACAAGGAAGAACAACAATTGAGTTTTATTGGATATGATAAATCACAGAGTGAATGCATCTCCACCACCTATTGACAGCGAGGATATTTAGCCATCCATATCATTACCAATTGTCTCCGGTCGTCATTGGTTCTTACCATCTATCCCGAGGACCCCAACCAGTCAATCAGGAAGTCTACACCTCCCTACTTGGATGGCTGGCGGTCTGGCTTAAACTAACTGTTGTGACTTTTATTGACTGATGAAGCCATGTTTTGGTTTGATCACCACCACTAGCTTTCTCTTTTCCAACCTGATCCATCCTGTGTCAGTCAGCTAACAATGCCTGTTGTCGAGGAAGGCGATGACTAAGGATGCACAGCAACACATGTCCTAACCATCTCAAGCGATGTAGTCTCACAATCTCATCGGCTGATTTCCCCTCCCACTTATCTAGCAATCGACCGACGCCTAACCTCATTATTTCTTACCTAATCATACCAATTAACACGAAAGATAAACAGCAGGTGCCTATGATGAAAGATAGCTAGCCGACCTTTTCATGTCTTTCACTCTCAATGGCCATATCAGACAGGCATAAAGGAGGACGGAGCGAAACTACTGAGCAGTACACACGTCCTTTGGTCGATAGCCAACCGAATATTCCGTCTACGACAGAGATGGTGTAAGTTTACATATGCTAAACGAGCCTTCTGTATCCCTGATGAGATCTCGTCGGCGATCAACTGGTTGACACTGGCTGATGCAAATTTCCAAATAAGTGAAGTGGTCAACACGCTCTGTCAATTCACTACCTGTCTTCAAGCTGGGAGTTAACGTAGTCCAGTCCTGTAGCTTCACCTTACATTTGTGGGAATCGAATCGCATGCCAAATATTCGAAGATTGCTGCTCATTCTGTCAGAGTATTTCTATGTGAAGATGCTAAGAAAGTGCAGAGTCTTCTGAACACCTTGAGCAGCAATCTTCGAATATTTGACACGCAATTCGATCCCGTCAAATGTAAGGTGATGCTACAGAACTGGATTAAACTGACTCCTAGCTAACAGATAAGCAGGAGTGAAGTGGTAGAGCGTGTTGACATCTAGTGGGATAACTACGATTTGAGTTACAATGCATGTTGAGCGACTGCATTCCTTGATGAAGAAAAATATCTGATATTATGTTAAGTGCAGTCAAATAAAGACCTGACAACAATCCATCAAGTATTCAAGTATTGGTTTGTACGGATTTGATTGACTGGTTATAGGATTTCATCATGAGCTGACATTGGTTAGAGAACCATTCGAAAACCTAGTTGTTTTTCATTCCCGCTTCCTTTAAATTGTTTGAAAGACTTATTACTATTATGTACTGACAACGTCCATTTCACGTTTAAAGGTGAACATTTTCGACAAGTGGATGGCATTGTTATGGGAAGTCGATTAGGACCTTTGTTAGCGGACGTTTGCATGTCTTATGTTGAAAACTTGTCCCTTGATTTAATTTCTAAAGTGCCCTCCTTCTATGGGACATATGTGGATGATATAATTTTGATATGCGACGATCATGAAGATGCGAGTCGTCTATTAGATAGACTTAACTTTGTACAGAATCATATTAGTTTTACATGCGAGGCAGAAAGTCGCGACCAGCTTGCATTTTTAGACATACTTCTGAGTCGAAGAGATGATGGTTCAATAAGACGATCAATCTACAGAAAGCCCACTTGGACAGGGCAATATCTAAATTTTCATAGTTTCTGTCCATTATAGTATAAAGGAGGCTTTGTGAAATGTCTATTTGAGAGGACTCAACGTATTTGCACCGCTGATGTTATGGACAGAGAAAACGAAATATTAATGGATTCTCTTGTTGAAAACGGATATATCTGCTGATCTTTCCTGGTCGTCGCATATCTTGATGATTTCTAAGAAAATATTCCGTCTTACCTTCTACATCAAGAAGTTAAGTCATTCTGGATTAACCCAACCCGTACTGTCACAATTCGTTAACCAGCTTGTCAATATTCTGGTTGACAGGCACTTGGACTCATGTGAAAAATGGACTAAATCCATTTTATCTATCTCACACCACCGTCTTCATTCACAACTCTCCCCATGTGTCTCATCATGCAGAACCAGAAACCTATGCAGAAAACTATATGCTCGCACTAGCAAGTACAAAATCTCAACCATGCCCTACTTGGCTCGTGTTCTGTGCGATCAAGAAAGCATTAAGCGTGATACCTATAACTTATTAAATAGTCAGTAGAACAACTGGATCTCGTCTTTCCAACTCATATCGTTTATCGGCACAACGTTTCCTTTCTTTCTTTTCCTTTTTTATGTGCTGTTTTGTTTCTCTCTTCCTTACAAACTCTACTTGAAACATTCTTCTTCGTTCTTTCACACTCTGTATATCTCCACCTTTTTGTTACCGCTTACGCCAGTAAATATGCTAGCGTCTTCTTTATTAACACCTTCAAACACTGTTCAATTTTGCCTTTGCTACCGACATGCCCTCAAGTGGAACCCGAAAGGGAAGCGGCGAGTGGGACGTCCAAGGGTGACATGGAGGATATCGTGCGAAGAGGAATTGAAACAGTATGGTTTAACATGGACGCAGGTGTAAAGTCCAGCAGAAGAGAGAAGCAAGTGGAGATGTGTAGTTGAAGATCAATGTTCCACTAGGAACCCAAGGGAACAATAATAATATAGTAATACCGACATGCCAATACGTTGTTTTCAAAACTAACTGAAATTAGTCTTAATCTATGTAGAATTTTATTTATTGTTAATGTACTAACTGGATGCAATACTGTAGCGAAATGCTGAGAATTCCATTCTGTATCACAAGTACTGTTTTGAGATAAAGCAAATTATTATTATTATTAAAATATGTAAACAGGTGTAGAAGTCAATTAGTCTCTGAACATACAATCTATACCGCCCCTAAGAAAAATGTCTTCACCAAATTACCGTATAACGGGGAAATAAACGGAAGGATTTTGAGACAAGGTTGAATTCGATCATCCGTAGAACCTACTATGCAGCCAGGCTTGTAATTGTCGAAAAAGCTAAAATATGCTCCACTGCAAACCTCAAAAGTGCACAAGTGATCCCACCTCCATCACGCGCTTTGTGCGTCGGTGGCACAGTGGTTAGGACACTGGGTACGGGTTCGATTCCCTGCCGATGCACACCTGATATCTATGGTCTGCCTGCAAAATCTGGGCTGCCGATATCACATGCTGAAAATTCCATACCTGTACCGAAAAATACGGTGTGGAATCAAGCTGTAATCAAAACTCACACAAAAATAAAAAATGTTACATCTTACACTATTCGCCAATTTCGTGTGTGTGTGTGGTCACACATACATAGGGAGGAGTAATCGCGCGTTGCACGTGAGGGTGGGAGAGCATATCCCAAAGTGGTTAGGAAAACAGATGAATTGTGACAAGCCCATAGATGCAGGTGTCAGAATACCAACTTCATCTATAGCTAAACATTTAATCGAGATGATGTTAACTCAGCCTTTAAGGTCATCTATAAAAACGGTCAAGGACGTTTACTGAAATACGCTGAGGCTATAGCCATTCATAAACTTAAGCCCCCCTTGTGTATTCAAAAACAGTTTGTTATTACTCTTAACCTACCTTGGTAATCCTTATTTGATTGGATTACCAAACGTTGTGTTAATCATTCTTAAATGGTTCTTTTTGTCACTTAGTTTAATTTAACGTTTTTATATATATATCGTCTTGACAAGTAAATGTGTGATCAGATTGTTCGAAATGTATAACGCAAATACACATCACATCGTTTTTCAGATAATCTCCGTCTTCTAATAATGCTATCCAAATATATAAGAGGGACTAATTGTTTTAAATTTTTGAAAAGAAGACTCCCTCCATGCACTATCAAACGGTTAGATGGACGTCTTAACCTGAAGTGTAAAGTAGCATCTGAAAAGGTAAAATTGGATTTTTATTATAAATCTTGCCTTTTTACAAGTGACACATTCCCGAAAGTATTTTACAAATCCCTTCCATCTTTCAAGTATTATTCGCCTTACGAAATCTCACATTGACGATTCTAATGGGAATTTATGTGGACTAATTGAACTCGATTTATTGTCATGAAATATTGATTGTCTGATGTCTCCATTATTTGTCAAAGTAAGTTCATTAATTTTTGTAGCTCTGTCGTTGATAAGACGAATACTAGAGAATACTAGATTGAAATTGCTTGGATCTTGCACGTCTGACTTCCAATTAAACCAGATCCCATTAAATCCTGATAAGTATGTGACAAATCTGTCATCGGTTGAACTTTTATTACATGAAAAAGAGGTGCTGTCAATTGGTTTCAATTTCTCTATCCCATTAAACAATATTTCAGACTTAACAATTGATTCTCAGTTTGAAAATTTGTATGATCAGTTGAGTTCTCTAACAACTTCTTCGACAGATGACCGAAGTTGGTTGAAAGTTAAATGTGTAGATGTAGCACACCAATTCCGTAATTCAAGTCGGAAACAAAGAAGCATTTTAACATCAACTCATTTTAAATCCCTAAAGGAATTACGTAATAGATCCGATTTAGTTATTTTGACACCTGACAATGGATCTGGTGTAGTTGTAATGGACAGAAGCGATTACAAAACAAAAATGTTCTCAATCCTTAATGACAAAAGCAAATTCATAGCCGATGTTCCTTCTGATGATATCAGAAAATTGGTAGGAAAAGTAACTTCTCGCTTAGTAGAACTTCGTGGAATGGTCGTTATCGATAAACAGGAGTTTAATTCCTTGAAGCCCATGGTATCTGACTACCCAAACCTCTGTGGTTTACCCAAGATTCATAAGGTTGATAATCCGTTACGTCCAATTCTATTAATGTGTCACTCTCCTACACATAAATTAGCAAAATGGTTAGCTGATATTTTAAGTCCAGTACGCAATGAATTATGTAAGTCTACTTTGAAAGATACATTTTAACTTGTTGACTGTCTTGTAGATATGAACATGAAAGATAGGGAAATGTATTCACTTGATGTTAATTCTTTGTTTACTAATGTACCATTGGTTAAGACTGTTGATATTCTTTGTGACTATATATCTTGTGGTTGTTTTTCATTTCCCTTTCCTTTAACTTATTTGAAAGACTTATTACTATTATGTACTGACAACGTCCATTTCACGTTTAAAGGTGAACATTTTCGACAAGTGGATGGCATTGTTATGGGAAGTCGATTAGGACCTTTGTTAGCGGACGTTTGCATGTCTTATGTTGAAAACTTGTCCCTTGATTTAATTTCTAAAGTGCCCTCCTTCTATGGGACATATGTGGATGATATAATTTTGATATGCGACGATCATGAAGATGCGAGTCGTCTATTAGATAGACTTAACTTTGTACAGAATCATATTAGTTTTACATGCGAGGCAGAAAGTCGCGACCAGCTTGCATTTTTAGACATACTTCTGAGTCGAAGAGATGATGGTTCAATAAGACGATCAATCTACAGAAAGCCCACTTGGACAGGGCAATATCTAAATTTTCATAGTTTCTGTCCATTATAGTATAAAGGAGGCTTTGTGAAATGTCTATTTGAGAGGATTCAACGTATTTGCACTGCTGATGTTATAGACAAAGAAAACGAAGTATTAATGTGTCACCCTTGCTCCCTGTTTGGAATCCACTCGAGCAATGGCCTGGCGATGGCGCGATGTCATTCGACGGCCTCTTCATCGTATATCCTGTATAATTCATTTTTATTACATATACGTATCATATAAATGTACTATTTTCATTCACTAAGTGTCACTTTTCATCCGGAAGAGGAGGTTTAATTGTGGTTGATTCGAGGTTATTTGATGATGGTGTCTATTGATTTTTCTTTCTTTTTTTCTTTTTGACAGGAGAATCATAATCTCATTCAATCATGGATTCTATGCCTACTACCGTTATCTGAAGATTCCAACGAATTCAATGCTCACTTACAAAAACGTTTATCTATTTTGACTGATATTAAAACTTCCAATGTGTAGAATTCAGTTCTTTCCTATTCTCTTCTCTTCTCTTCTATTCTTTTCTATTGTGTTCTGTTCCGTGTTTTGTCCCCCATAGTCCTGTAATTTATGCGTGCAAATAAAAGAGGGGGAAAAGAAAGTGTAATATATATACATATTACTTTTACTACAATGACAACAACAATGTTATATTTATTTCTGTACATTCATTTTCTTTTCAAATAAAAGCATTTATTTTATTATTAATATTTCTTCTCTGTGTGTGTGTGTGTGTGACTACTTCTCATGTTTCCTCATTCAACTTGAATTCACTGACTGAACCCAGTTGACTTTGCTGTTAAAATTAATTTTGTTTTTAGTATCTATGCTGCCAACGACGTCATTGTCAACGTTGTTCGCCTCCTTCAACACTCCCGTAGTATCGGAAGTTCGTATTTTTAAATGTCACAATGATGATGATGATGATGGTGATGAGTATTCGATCATTTCTAAGTGGAATCAAATTGACATTCTACGTAAAGATACTATTACATACACACGAACACATTTAATAAGGGTACCACGTAGTAATCATGAAAAATTGCAGGTGAAATATGCCTCACAATTACACTTCTCTTCATTTGGGAAAGGTTATCCTTCTAGTGTACAACAGAATAATGTACACACTGTTTGGGATATACAAACACCAGATGGTTGTCATAGAGCTGTATGCATCCAACCGGTTTCTTCTTCACCACCACGACAAGTAACGTCAAATTCATCAAAGTTTATCACAGCTGATTGTGAAGAAGCAAGTACTGTTGTACAAATATGGATTAATGGACGTCTTTCAAACATTGTAAAACTTCCAACAACTCCTCCTAATGCTCTTCATGGTCGTGTATATCCTACAGAGGGTGGATCATTTCATGGGGCTGCTTGGTCAAAGGCAAGAGATAAAATTGTCTATCTTGCAGAAGAGGTGGCGCCTGGTGATTCTTCAGAGGTAATTTTGTTTCTTTTTTGTTTGCATCTTTTTTGTTGTTGAATCTTTTGCATATTGCGGTGTGGCGGAAATGTCACTTTTTATCACAACGAATAAAACGGGAAGTGTATGTTCCACTGAAAGTCATTAAATCTTATATCTGCCATCTGATATCCTAAAAGTGACCAGTAGCGTTCACCCCGGTCGGAAGTGATGACGAATGCTCGCCAGAGACGACACTGTCTTGGGTGCCAGTCGCGCTAAATATCTCACAAATTGGTGGTAGAAGTTCGGATTTATGAACTGCCCGTTGCATCGTATCCCAGTGGGGCTGAATGTTCTACTAGCTTGCTTGTAACTTGAAGGTTCGATCCTTAGTTGGTGTGTACTACCAATGAGTCACAAGCTAGTCTGACGAAATAGCTAGCTGTCCAGTACTCCCTGTGGCTGGTTTTCTTTGGTTCTCTAAATGATCATAATCAGCGGTCAAACTGAAGACAAATCAAATCCCCTTACAAAGAAACTCTTGAAAAGTGATATGCCAATGTAGGATGTTGCTTTTGTTTCTGTGTTCCTGGTTGTAACGTACTTGTATGTTAGATTTATTTGCTAATTTTATAAATACTTAATTAGACGCAATTTGTCTGAATCGTGTAATGTATTCTCGCAACACATTTCGAACAATCTGATCACACACACGGACTTGTCATAGGAATATATAGGAAATTAATAAGGAGTTATGAGGTGAGAAAATAGAAAAGTTACGTCAAGTTAAAAGGACATATTGAAGGTCGAAATAAAAATGATGACCACTAAACGACATAGCATATTCCTAAATGGCTCCAGAAACAAACGGAATCTTCAGAACCCATTAATGGTGAGAACAAGAGACCTAGCTCCTCTATTGCGAAACATATCATAGACTCAGGACATGAAATTGACGTTAACAGATCATTTAAACCTATCTGTAAAACGTGTTTGTGGCGTATCCTATAGTCTGTGGTAGCTCTAGCTGGCAATTAGAAAGTTTAAACCACCTTTATGCTCCTCAAAGACAATTCGTCATCACACTAAACCTTCCTTGGTAAATTGTGTTTTGATATCAGCCAGGGTAGATGTACTATTACCTTTGCTATTTGGTTTAGTGGATTTCATTGTCATTTTGACCTTCACTATGTCCTTCTAACTTGACGTAACTTGTCTATTTTCTCACCTCTTGACTCTTTATTAATTTCATATGTGTTCCTATGACAAGTCCGTGTGTGTGATCAGATTGTTGGAAATGTGTTGAGCAAATGCATTACACGATTCAGACAAATTACGTCTTCTTAAGTATTTTATTATAAATCTGTCTGTATGGTGTTTAAAGCTGGCTTGGTTGGCTACAAGTGACACCACTTGTAGCATCAAAGGCCCTTAAGTAATTGGAACTAGTCTGTTATGATGGGGCTGAGTGTGACAAAGAGTATACAAACATATATATAATAGCTATTGCCTCAGCGTTTCAAACTAGTATTCTCTTTCGTTTGATTAACCGCGGAGCTCCAAAATTAATGAATTCAGATAAAGGTGAGAGGCTGACGAAAGTGAAAACACCAAGGATAGCAAAAGTGAAACAAAGAAATGAATGTATAAAAATAAATTTTAACAAAAATATGTCGATAGAAATATCATTATTGTTCGAGAGCATTAGAATGAGTGTGCGATTAGATTTACTCGTAGTCTGCTGTTCCATTTCATTGTTAGTGTGTGAGGGCTGAGATACTACTACCCGTGCGTCCAGAATGAAGCAGGTGACTGTCTCAAGGGACTACCCCCTCCGTGCCTTTGATCTGGAGTCTCATCTGCAAGGCAGCGGAACAGCATCAGAAGCTACGCTTCCCTGGTTACTAATGCAGGTTCCTGCGGCATTCGATCCGACTGGATACTAGAACCCATGTACCCCACGTTAACTGCTTTTAGTTTAACCGCTATTCAAACAACCTTCGTGGCATGGTAGGACCAGTGTAGCTTATTGGGTCACTGTGGTATGCAAGCCCAAACACCGCGTCAAGGTAGAAGTTATTGGCCGGGTTGATCGATGTAGCTTCACGATGTGATCAAATGAATTGACTTACCTACCTAACACTCTATACCTAATCTGAAAGTTACTCACTATGTTAAATCGTTTAACATGGTAGATATGACGCAAATATCTGTGGTCAAATACAGCTAGTCTTTTCATATCTTCCACTATCAATGCCAGTGTCTCATATCAACATAGAGGGACTGAGAGAATTATTACACAGTACACACATCCTTTAAGCAATAGCAGGATGTCACGTCTACTCCGAAGTAGACGTAAGTTGACAAGGGTCAGACTAGCCTTTTGCATTTTTATATCTTACCAAATTGTTTTTGTAATCCGCACTACTTAAAAGTATTATAATATATTTGAATCAATCATTGGTTGGAGGCAATGGGCAGGAATCCGTGCCCGACCTTATATTCGTGCTAGTTGGCACTTACTAGTCATCCAGGTGTATCTGCAATTTTGGAGGATCTGATGTCCCTTCTGAGATTCGAACCCGCGTCACCCAGTGAGTGCTGCAGTCAGAGACGTTACCAGTGATCTATTCAGGCTTACGACTGACATCCTGTAGGAGTGTATTGGTTTCTTTGATTGGACACTAGTTAGTGAGTAGTTGTGAGTGTCTAGTCCTTTGCTTGATGTTCACCAGTTCAACTTGCCACTGTCCCTGCATGTATCCCACAAAGCAAGAGAAGAAAGTTAAGAGAGATACCAAAAAGAGAGATAATAAACAGAAGTGTGAGTGAGAGGAAGAGAATAGTCATATAGAAGAACGATAGAGGACTTTTATTGGTTATTAATAATTGTGGAAAGTGAATGCATCTGCGCCAGCTATTGACAACGATGATTTTGAGCCGACCATATCACTGATTGTCTCTAGCCTTCGTTGGTTCTTACCATCCCGAGGTCAGTCAGGCAATCTACACCTATCTACGTGACTGGCAGGCTGGCTTGAACTAACTGTTATGCATTTCATTGACTGATGAAGCCATGTTTTCGTTTGACCATCACTAGTTTTCTCTTTTCCAAACTGATCCATCCTATGTCAGTCAGCCAACAGTGCCTGTTGTCGAGGAAGGCGATCGATGGCTAGGGATGTATGCAGGACATATGCCCTAACCATCTCAATCAATGAAGCTGCTTCACAACCTCATCGATTGACTTTCCCTCCTTACCTAGCAGTCGACCAAATGCCTAACCTCAGTGCTACTCATCCCGTTATGCCACCTAACATGGGCGATAGAACGCAGACAACTGTGATCGAAGGCAGCTAGCGAGGCTTTTCATGTCTTCCAAATATAGTGACCATGTCTCACAGCTAGCGATGAAGGAGGAAGGGGAGAAGTGGTGAGCAGTACACACATCCTCAAATCGATAGCTAGCCGGATATCACGTCTACTAAGCCAGAGATGGTGTAAGATGGCATATGTCAGAAGAATTCTATCAGCCAAGTTTGCAATGTGTCCACTATTTGAGGTGGCCCGAAAATCCTGAATAGCTCAGTGGCAACGTGTCTGACTGCAACACTCACTGGGTAATGCGGATTTGAATATCAGAAGGGACATGAGTTCCTTTAAGGCTTCAGATACTCCTTGTTAACAAGTGAGAGCCAACAAGCACGAGACCTAGGTCAGGCACGTTTTTCTGCTGCTTGACTCCAACCATCTAACATCAAGAATTCACAGTACATTTTGATGGCTGAGCCACCTAGTGGCATGGTGACCACATTGCAAACTTGACTGCCGTAGAATTCCATCTACACCAAAATACAAAGGACTAGACGCATGATGTTACCAGTTACTATCTAGTATCCATCCAATGTGTTTAATATATTCATATATGTATGATTCGTTTTTGTTTCCTAACATATATATGTATGTATTTTACTTGATTAAGTCTTGTGGAGGTGATTCATCCTTTGCATTTCAAGAGGATTGGGGAGAAGGCAATGAAGGCGTGCATAAACCAATAATATGTGTACTCGATATCACCACTAAAACTGTTACACTGGCCCCACTGAAAGAAAATAATCTCAACTTGGCTTCAAATGAACCAATATGGACTCCTGATGATGTTGGTATTCTATTCATTGGTTATCCATTAAAAGCGTATAATCTCGGAATTAAGTACTGTGTTCAACGTGTATGTCGTCTTTACTTTTGGAATATGAGTAAGTAAGGATTTGTTTTAAAAGTTTTGTTAAACTTTGGTGTTGTTATCTGTATTCTGTTGATGAGTTGTAGTCGTTTGTGTTACTTATCCGAAAGGCAAACAAAGCAGTATGGATAATTTTCAAGTATTGGTCTTGTAGGGATTTCGTTTGTTCGTATGGGGGATTTCATCGTGAGCTGACACCAGTTAGAGAACCATTGGGAAACCACTAGAGAGTACTGGACAGCTGATTCTCTAGTCCTAGTTTGGGACTCTCCAGCAGTGCGCACCCACTGCTGGGGTTCGAACCCAGGACCTTCTGGTTATAAGTTGATTTCGTAGAGCATTCAGCCACTGGCACCCGCCAATCCAGTGGCCAGTCCATGAATTCCAACTCATGATATTGCGCCACCACTAGCCAATGTCATTGTCGGCGAGTAATTGCCCTAACACCCGACCTGCTGTACCCCGTTGGTCACTACTTCCCAGTATTCAGCGTCCTAATGAGTTAGTCTGTAGCAATATGTTGGTCTTTCTGGTCTCCATAAATAACCCGGTACTGTTGCATACCCAGCAATCACCTTCCTCGACGGGCAATCTAAGCTGACTGACATAGGATGGATCAGGATTGAAAAGGGAAAGCTAGTGGTGGTCAAACGAGAACATGGCTTCATCAGTCCATGAAATCCATAATGGCAAGTTAGAAGCAACCACGTAGGAAGGTGTATAGTGTCCGGTTGGCTGAGGTCATCGGGATGGTAAGTCTCAATGAAGACTGGAGACAGTTGGTGACATAGTCCAAATTCGTCCTCAGTGGTTGTGCAGATGCAGTCACTGTTTGTCACTTGTCATATCCAATAAAAGTCTATTGTTCTTCCATATTACTATTCATTCTCCCTCACTGACACTTCCGTTTATTATACCTCCTTATTCTCCTCTCGCGTTGTATGTGCTACATGGATGGAATGTGGCAAGGTGAACTGGTGCACATCTGTGAAGAGTTCTCTGTTGAAACCAACCAGTCAATCAGTCATTATCGTACGATACTGTGACGCGCAACCTCATGGACAGACTTTTCATTTTCGTTTTCCCAGTCTACAGTTTAACCAAACACTGCTCCGTCTGTGTAGTTGTTTTAGTACTTGTGAGTGGTGTTGCTTACTTCATACTATTCATTATAATGTCAATCAAGTTGTGTGCAGATGTTTTTGGGTTTGCATGGGTAAACCAAGGTGAATTAAAAACATCTGAACGGGTGACAGATTTTCGTCCTATATATTATCAGTTCATGGAAGTTAGTTAGAACTCGTGACCAGTAGGGTACTGAAGGTCGGGTGTCAGGACAAATACTCGCCGATAGCATTGGCTAGTGCCACTCGCGCTACATCGTAAATTAGTGGAATTTGGAATTCATGAGCCATTGGGTCGTTTCCCAGTGGTTGGTGCAACTTCCCAAATAAGTGAATTGGTCAACACCCTCCCTCAACCACTTCACTCCTGCCTGTCTTTAAGCTAAGAGTGAGTGGATGTAGTCCATTCCTGTAGCAAATATCATCTTACATTTGACAGGAGCGCGGGAATCGCATGCCAAACATTCGAAGATTGCTGCTCAGCTCGTGGTGTTCAGAAGACTTTGCGTTTTTTCAGCGTCTTCAACCAGGAAGGAGGAGTATATCATCCACGTATTCTAAGTCACAGAGATTATTCCGTGATGGTAACGAGTGAATCCCTGAGTCTCTGAAGTCACTTGTAGTTATGTTCACAAGTACATCTATGATGAAATTCATGAGAAATTGGGACAGTGTGCATTGCTGCTGTTTGTCATCGCAGTCATCAGATGACAACTCTCCACAGGCTCCTACCTGGCTCGATTAGCGTAGTCGTGAAACTCTTATGGTTGTAATGAAAGGCTGGTTCATCTACACAGTCAATTAATTCTAATGAAATGTTGATTAATGATAATCCTTTAATGTTAGATTATCTGAAGTCAATGAGGTTGGGGGGGGGGAGATGTCCATACAGGGTCCTGTTCTCTCTCTCTCTCTCTCTCTCTCTCTATATATATATATATATATATAAGTATACTAAAGTTGATTATTTTTATTTTTGATGTGGCGGAAAGAAAATGCTACCATCAAACCAATCAGCAATGCTGGTCGATCAGTTCACTGTCCTCGATTCTCTCCGAATGGTGAATATTTAGTCTGGCTTGAAAATCCTGTTGGTGGACCACATGGACAATGTTACGCCTTAATGGGAATGATCTGGTCCTTGGAAGATTTTCAACCTAAAATTATTATCCCAATTTTGAACAGTCGATCATCTGAAAAGGCTTACGAATTCTCAGGTAAATTCCTTTTTCAAGAATTGAAAACATTTCGTTTGCACTAACATATTTATTAATTTAAGTAATTTCATTTCATCTTATTTCCATTTTAGGACTTTATTGTACACTATCAGAACGTTGTTGGTCCAGTGATAGTCGGCGTATTGTAATCTCATCTTATCACAATGGATTTAAAGATATAGGATATATTGTTTCAGTGGCTGAGTCCATTGCTCGATCGAAACCTGTTATACTCCAACTGCCTCAATTGCATTTAGCAGATGAAGCGTGTGAACCATCGTCATTGAGTATTTTAGACTTTTATGAGGATATTTTAGTCTGCTGTACAACTTCTCCGATTCATCCACATCATTTAGCTGTATTGAATTTAAAAAATCTAGATGATAGGAATACGTCATTTGATCTTGCCCAACATCGGTGAGTTTAATTTTCTACTTTAGATGATAATTTACAGGATTGATCATGATTTGACATCAGCTAAGAGAACCGTTGGAAAACCAGGTGGGAGGACTGGACAAACGTGTCGTCATAGTCTGGAACTTTTCATCAGTGCGCATCCACCACAGGATGCCCGAGCCTAGGACGTTCAGGTTAAGAGGCGAGGTCGTAGACCATTCAGCCACTGGGAGTCGTCTATCCGATGGCCTTTCCATGAATTCCAGCTTCCGCCAATACGTGATATATATTTGTGATGCAACCGCCAGTTAATGTCACTGGCTTAGTAACTGTCCTTTCGCCTGACTTGGTGGACTCCACTGGTTACGACTTCTCCCTAGAACCCTAGTAACTGCTTGTATACAGCCAGTGGCTTGTGAGCATCAGACTGACTATCACGTGTTGGTTTACTGGGATGTGATTGGTTGACGGATTGATCACGAGTTGATATCAGTCTATCAGCTCATCTCGTAACCAATAGGACATGGGTTCGAATAACCGGAGAAGATGCGTACTGATGAAGAGTCCCATACTTAGACGAAACGGTTATTCAGTACTCCCTGGTAGATTTTCCAATGGTTCTCTAACTGATGTTGACTCGTAATCAATCCTGTTACCAATTAAATCTACATAAACCAGCACGTGACATTAATAATTGACACAAGTGTCTAGTTATTCTTCTAGTGTCGATGATGAACTATTATTGTGAACTAACTAATTTGAACTTGAAATTTTGTGTAGAATTTTGTACACTGCACAAACGTTGTTTTATTTATTTGGTACAATATGGCTCCAAGAAGATGCACCACAAAATAATAATAAAACAACATAGACTAAAAGTAAAAATGTAGGCGGAGGACAGATAAAGAACTTCATCTGGAAGGAAAACAATCATAATTATCAAGTGTAAACAGCATTCGTCAATTATCGTCGAGAAAGGAAGAAAGAAGGAAATTGCTACACGTTCTCCATTGATTACGATTCTTCACCATATCCCAAAACATTTCGAGTCATCGATTCGAGCTATCACTTGGACTCCAACCACGGAGTTGTGACGCACCAACCGATGACGCTAGCCTAACACAAATATCCTTCATGCCACGACGCCACATCATGCACTGATCACCTCTCCGCCATTTCCATCCCGTCCCACGACTAGCGAACACAGAATGGTACGGAAGCCTCTGAGATGACATTAGTTGCACATGTCGAAGCCACCGGAGCCAGTGTTTCCAGATGGTAACACTCAGTGAATGGTGGGCTCCACTGTGTTCACACACACGCCGCTAGACCTCAGAATTGCTCACACGATGATGTCATCGAACGAAAGCAATCCTGTGGAGACAGCGGTGATTGAACACAGAGAGCCACCGCACATCCTCAGCTCGGAGAGGCCAGTTCTCACAGGCGTAGAGCAAGATAGCCGGCACCGAAGCATTGTATACCTGACCATTAACAACCAGGCTGACGCGGCGATGGCGCTGGAGGTGGCTTAAGTTGACGTATAGCATGCTAGCTTTCATGATACGGTTGCAAATCTCATCCATCAACCGTCACCTGTATACTCCAGGTAGAAAAGTCTCTGCAGGGAGCAGATCAACACTACTTATGTGCATTCGTCTTTCATTTCTGCAGGAGTTGATCCACCCTCCTTCATGTCAGTGTTCTATCTCCAGTGTTAAATGCTCTCATTGGATGATCAATATTGAGGTAAGCCCTCGGTCGAGTTTTAAGTAGAGAGGGGAAAGGACTAGGCTAAACTGAGATGGTTAGGATATGCGTTACGCATGCACAACTAGCCACCGCCTTCCTCGACAAGCAATGCTCACTAACAGAGGGTTAGCCTAGAAATGAGCCAGTGGTGGTCAAACCAAAACATAGCATAATCAGTCAATGAAATTCACAACAGTTAGTTTAATCCACGCAAGAAATTGTAGACTGGCTGACTGACTGGTTGAAGTTCTTGGGACGGTACAAAGCAATGATGACTGGAGACAATTGGTGATATAGCTCAAAATCCAAGTTATCAATGCCCGGCCCAGATGCATCCACTCTTCGCGACTCAAAATATCCAACTAAATTATGTGCTTCTTCGATATTACTATTGTTTTTGCCTCATATCTCTGTTTATTGTCTCTGTTTTGCATTTCTCTTTACATTCTCCTCTGGCTTTGTGTGGTACATCAACGGAGAGAGGCGACTCAAACTGCCGCACATCAGTGCAAAGTTCTACATTGAATTCAATCAGCCAGTCAGTCATTGGTCGTAACGTCTCTGACTACAGCATTCACTGGGTGACACAGTTTTGAATGTCACAAGCGACATGAGTGTTCCTTCAATACGTTGTGCATATACCCATGGCTGACTGACTGGTGATTGTCGATAAGTACAAAACCCCCTAGGTCAGGCAAGGTTACCTGCCTGCCGCCAATTGCCGCCAACCACCGAATATATTCGGATTTTGTGTTGATTTTACTAGGGAATTCTATATCAAAGTGTATTTACACATTTTTACAAAAGATATTGTTCAGAATAAAGCTATTATTATTACTATTATTTTATAGATGGTTAATACTTTCTGATGGAATGGACTTGAAACAGTCTTCTGTGCGTTCAGTGAAAGGTATCGATTGTGTTATGCGTGGAGTTCTGCATGTAAATGAGAATGGAACATTCTCTTCTTGTTATTATTTACTTATTCATCCAAGACTTGAAGAGGATGGTTCAATCAAACAAATAGACAGTAAGTTTCCGTGTTCTGTTTTTGTTCTTTAATGTTCTTCTATTTTTTAATTCCTTTTTTTCTTTTCTGACATCAGTCTATGAGATGTGTTATGATGAACAGTCTCTGTAGCCTATGTCACACCTGACGAGGGAAACAAGTTGAGGTGCAAATCTGTACTGGTATGTTTCCATCTGAGTGGAAATGAACATCAGTCAGAGAATCATTGAAAGCTGAGAAGCACTGGTCAGCTTTTCTGTACTACTTTGCTGTTCTCTTGGGATTGGCGTGTGGACAGATTTCACAGAAGTCTGCAGTGTGAAGCATTGAAAACACAACGAATTGTGAAGCATAGATCTGTTGCAATACGGCTAGAACTTGGGCACTGTGGTGATAGAGTAAAATTCCATTATGGCTAAAAATTTTAAACTGATAAAGTCACACAGTGTGGTATACCGTAATATTTAGTAACCTCCCTGGAATCAGCTCTGAAGGGTGTGCTTGAAAGTAGTGTTGATCTGCTCCCTGGAAAGACGTTTCGATCTCGAGTATACAGACGATATTGTCTTACTGTGCGATAGCAAGCTGGTAATCCAAATCGCACTTAATCAGTTGGCGACTAGTGTCTGTAAGTTTGATATACGCTTTGCGCCGTGTAAGTGCGAAGCACTGAACAGTATTTTTTCGCACAAATATGAAAATATACTTTGATATAGAATTCCCTAGTAAAATCAACACAAAATCCGAATATATTCGGTGGTTGGCGGCAATTGGCGGCAGGCAGGTAACCTTGCCTGACCTAGGGGGTTTTGTGCTAATCGACAATCACCAGTCAGTCAGCCATGGGTATATGCACAACGTATTGAAGGAACACTCATGTCGCTTGTGACATTCAAAACTGTGTCACCCAGTGAATGCTGTAGTCAGAGACGTTACGACCAATGACTGACTGGCTGATTGAATTCAATGTAGAACTTTGCACTGATGTGCGGCAGTTTGAGTCGCCTCTCTCCGTTGATGTACCACACAAAGCCAGAGGAGAATGTAAAGAGAAATGCAAAACAGAGACAATAAACAGAGATATGAGGCAGAAAGAATAGTAATATCGTAGAACCATATAGATTTGTTGGATACTTTACATCGCATGGATTGGTTGCATCTGCACTAGGCATTCAGAACGTGGATTTTGAGGCATACCATCAATTGTCTCCGGCCATCATTGGTTTATACCATCACGAGGACTGCAACCGGTCAGTCAAGTAATCTACACCTTCCTTCGTGTTTGGCTTAAATTAGCTGTTGTGAATTTCGTTGACTGATTATGCCATGTTTTGGTTTGACCACCATTGGCACATTTCCAGCCTGACCCTCTGTCAGTGAACATTGCCCATCGAGGAAGGCGATGGCTAGTTGTGCATGCGTAACACGTGTCCTAACCATCTCAGTCGATGTAGCTTCACAGCCTAGTCTTTTTATTTCGCCTCCTAACTTGACACTTGTCCGAAGTCCAACGTCGAAATTGTTTACCCTACTATACCACTTCTCATGGGAGCTAGAACTCAGACACGTGTGATCAAAGACAGTTTGTCGGCTTTATCATTTCTTATGCTTTCAGTGGCCACTTCTCACAGCTAGCCATGACTGCTGTTTTTCAGTGTCTTCACTAAGGAAGGAGGGTTATATAATCCACATATTCTAAGTCAATGAGATTATTCCCTGATGGTAACAAGCCAATCAATTCCTGAGTCTCTAAAGTCGGCAGTTAGGGTTAATTCCACTAGTACATCTATGATGAAATATTCGTGATATATACATGCATATATATTTTTTGTTAACAATATTAGAGTGTTGAATACATTTCCTGAGATGAATTATGTAATATTTATTATTGTTTACTTTAGTATCTGATTTCAATTTTAACGAAGATATAAGTGATCTGATTGCCAACCGATTGCAAGGTTTAATTGTAATGCCAAATGGTGGTCCACATTCTGTTTCAAGATTGACATGGTCATCAATGATAACAAGTTTTTGTATTTGTGGATTTGCTTGCCTATTAATCAATTATACTGGATCACTTGGTTATGGTGATGAGTTTATTCAAGATCTAATCGGGCGTATTGGCGAGAGAGATGTATCCGACTGTGTTCGCGTAAGCACACACAAAGATACATTTTAAATTGTGTACCTTAATGCATTTAAAATGATATATATATATGTATATATGCAAAAGCAAGAGACGCCATGCGTGCCAAAAAAGATACTTTAGTTGAACCCAGACTTCAAATGTGACCTACTCAGTGATGTTCTTAGAAGGAGAATCTCTATTTTTTTATGAAGCCCTTTCTTTGCGGCAGCATTGAGATTACTGTCCTTCAGTCGCCCGCTGATCTGCAGAAGTCCAAAAGACAAGATCTCGCACCTGACCATTTCTATGTGTATATATCAGTTCACCTGTCGCTGTGGAGCCAGGCATATCGGTCGTTCGACGCTTATTCTGTCAAAAAGGGTCAAAGAACAATATCCAGCGTGGCTGCAGAAAGGAAGTAGTGGTCGTATAAAGAGTGCAACAGTCGAACAACTTATCACCACTAGTAATTCCATCTCAACAGTCGCCTCCTTCAAAGTAATCTACCATGTGAAGAACAACTTGCCAAAGACACTACGTTTCCGTCTTCTTTGCATTGCAGAAGCCCTAACCATTCAGTTAGAGGAACCAGAACTATACACACAAAGGAAAATTATTCAACCACTTGTACTATCATGGTAACAACTCTGTTGATTTGACTTGACTCTTGTTTGTATGCTTATTTCGTCCTATTAATCAATTAACTTCTAATTACATGCCCAGACATCGTCGAAGCATCTGCACAAGCGGCCGACATGTCAACCTGAGACCGAGCACTTCGGTCCAATCAATCGACAGGAAAATCTCAAATTGAATTAAATTAAATATTTCATTATTCATATTTTCTTTGTATATTTGTTATCTCTCTTCATCTCTGTTTAGGCTACTAAAAGTGCTTTAGAGTATCTTCAACAGTATGAATCCAATTTGAAAGCAGTTTTATTTGGTGGTTCTCATGGTGGCTTTTTAAGCTTACATTTAGCTGGACGATATAATCATCTGTTCAGTGCAGTTGTAACTCGTAATCCTGTGACAAGCTTGATCAGTATGATTCATACAAGTGATATACCAGATTGGTGTTTTACTGAGGCTGGTTTAACCGATCCAGGTGAATGGCCACTTGATCATCTTCTACCGACTACGAATGAATTAACTCGTTTAGCAGATGTTTCACCAATGAAATATTTAGATGATACATGGTCTGTACCATTATTAATGTTGTTAGGCGGTAAAGATCGTCGTGTTCCAAATAGTCAGGTGAGTGATTTTTTATTTTCAGTTGTATGTCTGAATTGCGTCATATGTATATACAGATTAATGAGGTCTGAATGCAGCATTTTCTGTAGCTTGGGATACTTTGTCCATATTTTCTATAGTTGGTTTGTAAGGATTAGTTTTGTTTATACGAGTTTGACCGCGGATTGATATCAGTTAGAGAACCATTGAAAACCAGCAGGGGGAGTACTGGACAGCCAGCTGTTTCATCCTAGTTTTGGGAATCATCAGCTGTAGGCACCAACCACAGGCGGGTTCGAACCCAGGACCTTCCAGCTACAAACAAGCAAATTCGTGTACCATTCAGTCACTGGGACTCGATTCAGTGGCCAGCCCATGAATTCTAACTTCTACCAATTCGTGATTTAACGCGACCTCAACCGTTATTGAAGATTCTAAACAAAGAGTAAACATTTTGCAATATAACATCACTGGGAATTCCCCGCTATGTGAATAAACTCCTCTTTTCTTCCGAATAAAGCTATTGGCGGCCTGATTGAATCTCTGGCCCTACCTGAATTTCCATCCAAGACAATACATCTGATTGTCTTTAGTTCTTGCTATTATAATCATCATTCAGTTATATGTGTAGATCTCCAAATGTGTTATACTCGTGAACACTTTCAATTGGTTTGCAGTCTATCGTTGAGCATGCCTGTAAGACCGAAAACAGAAATACCATAGTGGATTATTTTATTCTTCAGATGATCTAACGTCACTGCATCACATGATATCCTGGAGATGGTGGCTGTTTTTCACTTGAAGGTGGTGGAGTTCAACAATAGCGTCCCAGAAGTGCGAACGCTTCAATGACCTTGAACGCATGCGTGCTAGTCGTTGGCTAAAAGGCACCTGTCATTATCATAGCTGAAATATCAATGCTATTCATCAACTTAGGAGGGAACTTCACCCAGATCACGTTTTTTAAGTACTGTTTGGACAGTGTTTTACTGTCTCGTTAAGGTCAAGATAAGGGTTAAGGTAAGTTTTGGGGTTAGGGTTATGATCAGGGTCATAATTAGGATTGCGTTTAGGCTTATGGTTAAGATTAGGGTTTTAATTAGGGTCAGGATTAAGGTTAGGGTTTACGCTTAGGGATAGATTTAGAGGCGATGTCATTTATTTTAATTTGTTTTATTATCCACATTTCCCTGGTAATTAGTTGTCGATCCTCTTACTGGAAACCATAGTAATCCAACAGGGGGGCTTTTGAGGAGGACTGCACAACAGGATAAGAGAGATAAACGATTCACAGAAACAGCTCATCTTCAGTCATGCATTTTCTTGTAAATATACGTCATTTTTCATGCAAAAATTCCTCATTTTTATGATTGGTCGGCTCAAGGACACTCGTGCGTGTTCGCATTTCTTGGGATGCTATTGTTGAACTTTGCCCACTTGAAACTCCTGGATGAAGAGAAAGTGTTATGCAATAAACTATCCTGAAAATTATGCATATTCTGTGAACTTATTGTGCATAATAAAGCTATTGTGGCGTCTGTCGCTCAGCGGTTAGGACTCTCGCCGACTAAACAAATGGTCCGGAATTCGACCCATTGCCGACGCACACCTGATATTAGTGGTTGGCCTGCAGAATTTGGGCTACTGGTATCACAGGCTGAAAATTCCATATTTGTAGCAAAACAAATACGGTGTGGAATGAAGCTATAATCAAAATTTAAAAAAATAAAATTATTATCACTATTATTATTTTTATTATATTTGTGATATTGGTACTACCATAATTTTTCGAAAAAGATTTTCAGGAATGTATTTAAAACTTCTATTCTTCTTGTTTTCTCTCGATTTTTAGGGATTGACATTTTGTCGAAAACTTAAAGCATCATGTCCAAATATCCCGTGTGAAATTCGTTTATATCCTCAAGATTCACATGCATTAGATTCTCCAGCATGTTCACTAGATGTCTTTATCACTACTGTGAATTGGTTCTTCAAACACTTGAAGGAGAGGGAGAGACAGACAAACAGACAGTGAGGAATTCCCTGAAGGAGGAGATGATGATGCATATACAATGAATGAAGTCAACTACTTGATTACTTCTCATTGTGTATCTAATACGACAATATGATTGCTTGATTACGTAATCAAATCTTTGTACTGCTTATTACTTTAGTGTATTTTTTAAAAACATTTTTGTCATAAAATAAAATAAAAATCAATATTTTAGAAAGGCATTACACCTTTTACATCATTCGAAACTTTATAGCATAATTGAGTGATTGTTGTATGATAATGTTTGGTAATACTGAGTAATCATGTAATGTGGGGAAAAAATTCCCCCCCGCAGCCTGTGGCCGATCAATTTCATCCTCTTCTATGGCACTACTTTATTATTATTATCGTTAGCTTAAGTCCCTAGAATAACATAAGGCTTCATTCGCACATCTACATTGCATTCTGTTCTCCGCAGTTCTCCGATCCATGTTTGGAGTATTTGTTGAACGATAGGTTTCTTGACTGTTGCATTTCTGCTGACCGTCTCTGATCTTCAGTAATATTTAGCCAGTAAAGGCAGGCGTTGGTGGAAGTCTGCAGTAACCTGTTAGAAATACTTTTCATGACGTGGATGCCACGTCTCTAAGCACTGCTTTGACATTAGTGTTGGACGAAATCAGAATCCCGGGTCCCAGTGGCTTAATGGTATACGAGCTCGCCTTGTAAACCAGAAGATCAAGGGTTCGAATCCCGGGGGTGCGTACTGCTGACGAATCCCAAACTAGGACGAAACAGCTGTCCAGTACTCCCAGATTTTTCAATGGTTCTCTAACTAATGTCAGCTCATGATGAAAATCCTGTAACCAAATGTTTTTCTTTACGCTGAGTGCAGTAGATTTTCCAACCGGTTTTCAGAGATAATAATAATAACAGTTATAGTAATAAGCGTATGAAAGCAAGTTTATTTCTATTTTGGGGATCCATTGAATACCTTATTGTTATTGTTATTCCCTTGGGTTTCGAGTGGAACACACGCCTTGAACAATACATCTCCACTTTGTTCTGTCTTCTGCCGTCCTCGTCAGCCGGGTTCATGACTGCCCGTAATCTCTTATCTCTTCCTCCTCCTCGCCACACGATCTCCTCCATGTCACCCTCGCACCGACGACCCACTCGTCGCTTCCCATTGAGATTCCACTCGAGTGATAGTCTGCACTGTGTACTATGTCATTCGATGGTCACCTCAGTGGCGTATGGCCAATCCATCTCCATTATCTCCTGTATATTTGTTGAGTAATCGCCTCTTGGTTGGTTTGTTGCCAGCCAGATGGTAGTGTTGTTTCGGAGGGTACAAACTTTTGCATAAAAATTCACAAATCACACACTGATGTGAAATTTCACCGATAGTATCCTTTGAAAATTGAAATTATTCAGGTCTAAATATTTGATTGATCTGCTTGATACCATAAATGGCGGTCAAGAAAGGGTTACTTTGTGAACTTTAAACACCGTAGGAAGGAGTGCGACCGCACTTTTGGGAAACATCAAGTTAAGGTGTAGGCAAAGGACATGCCACGGTTGGCTCCACTTAGGTTTAGGTTAAAGAAATATTGGGGTATATAGAATGTGGTTTAATGACTCTGTGGATACTTCAAGACAAAAACTGAGTGGCATTTCCGTTACACTTCGAAGAAAGTGTCCTATGTAACATTCAACTATGGAAAAAATTTATTTCATCAAGTCACATAGTGTTATACAGTAATATTTACTGATCTATGAAGGTAGGCCTAGTTAAGTGTCTAACAAACTGAGCAGTAGCACTAAGTAGTACATCAAAAAACCTAAAAGGATGAAATGAAACAAAGAGAATAAGCGTTGGTATCAAATAACAATCCTATTAAATTCATTAGGAACATAGGAAAAGGTCAAAAGCAAAACAAAAATAATGAGGAAACTAATAATGATAATATAAATAAGAAAGAATCTAAGGCATCTACAATTTTACCACATAAGGAGGGGACATCTGAAAGCCTACGTAGGATTCTCAATAAAGCAGAAATTAGAGTGGCATTTAAACATACAAACTCACTCAGGGACAAGCTCTGTAGGTTAAAGGACCCCGTTGGTTGACTCAATTAGACAAAATAATATAATTTACAAAATACCCTGCAATGACTGTGATTTGTATCAACTACATAGGTCAGACTAGTAGATCGGGAGTAGTGAGATTATCAGAACATAATAATTTAGCTAAGTTTAGGATGACTGATCCCACGGAGATAAGTAATTTAGAAAAAGAAAATTCAACAACTGCACTATATGCACTAACACACAACCACACAAAAGGGTGGGAGAAGGTTAAAATTCTAAGAAGTAATCTAGGTAGGTGGAGATAGAGGTTGAGAGGTACTGAATCTTTGTTCATCGAATCCACACCTGGCACATACAATAAGAATGACTCATCACTAACACCAGAAATATTTACAATTGGTCTAGTGGATAACGCTTTGGCGTTTGAAACTATAGTCACTGGATTCGAGCCTCGGTGAGAACATCATCACTCACTGGGGAATACAGGTACATTTAGATGACGAGTCCCGAATAGGACGAAATGCACGTTGTTCTGGATTCCACTGCTAGTCACCATCCACCATTCAACTTCACTTGTTAAGTGTTTCATTAAGAAAACCTGAAATCGATTGAATCTAATCATTATAAAAATAACAAGGACTCTGTTCTGAGAAATGTGTTTCTATACACAACACAGAATTTTCCAACAATTTTCTTATCTCAAGTTATTCACTCCTTGTGATGAATCTTCAACAAATACGAGAAATGATAATCCATCATTAACTGAAGTGATGGTTGTTGCATCGAAGGCGCGCTACAATAATCGACAATGTTCCTCCTCAATTTCTTTCAGAAAATTTGTAACCCTCATTTTTGAAATGTGTCTGAGTATACATCGCGATTCTTAGACGTCATTGTATGTTTAAGATAATACGAAATGGAGTGTATAGAAAATTTAGGAGGTGGCCCAGTGACTTGACCAGGCCGCCGATATTTTTATTGACACAATAGTCATGAATATGGTTTTATTTTATGATGACTGTCAGTACTGGTGAACACTGGGTCGTTAGTTTATTTGAACTGGTCCCCAGATTGGGGGGGGACAAGAAGGCTGTCATTCCTTAATCGTATACTGGTTGGCAGAAGATTTGTACATTATTTTGACATTTATTTACAAACTTTTCCACTTGGTATCAATTGTAAATCTGTTTCGTTATCAGTTGAAGAATAAACAATTCTGTTGCCCAACCGTTTTCTGTCCTTCCGCATCGGTTTCAATGCATAGTATTCTGTGTATTAGGCATAGTCTTTTGAAACCAGTGATAGGTTCAGAATCCTTGCGATCATGAACGCTGACTTCAATTTTAGTTCCCTGAAAAGTGTAAAATGTTGTTTTACAAATTGAATTCAGTCAGAGAACTATTGAAAACATGTAGGGAATACTGGACGGCTGTTTCATCCCTGATTGCAACTCTTCAGCAGTAAGCGCCAATGACATTCAGGTTACAAGGTGTAATCGATCAAATCCCTTCAAAATAACATTTGGAAGTGAAAAGTCTGTCTGCTAGTTGAATTGGTAGGTACAATTTGAAGTGCCTAGTCTAAGTGCTTCATCTTTCAGTCGAACAACCACCATCGGTCGTGTAGGGAATAGAACGTGTAGTTCATCAGCATTTAAAGTTCTTTGGTAGAACTCGTCAGCTGAACACTCTACATACACGGATATATATACTTTTGAAATTACATTGGGAGATATAAGACTGATAAGTAAACAAACTACATTGAATTAGTCATGCAGAAAGACAGGTGCGAATGCTTTTCCAGGTCATTCCATATTAGTTTGTTTATTAGATGTATGACACAGTGAAACAGTATTATTTACTGGATGACGTTTCAAACGAAATTTATTGCTGTTCATAATCCTATCAATTTTGATCACACGACATCGAAACTTGACTTTTATAGTCTTCTTTGTGTTGAATGATTCATATTACATGTATTTGTAGTTGATTCGATAAACAAAGCTTCTGTTATCAATCTCTCCTTATACCCTGTGACATTAGATTTTAAAACTGTCATCCTATCCCATCCTATTGTATGGTTGTGTGTAATTGCATGTAGTGAGTGCTATAGCTGAACTATTCTCTAGATTTCTTATCTAATTCGGGTCAACTAATCTAGATTTCGCTGCTAGGTTTTTGTGCTCGGCTAGTCTGACTGCCTCTGTTCTACTAGTCTGACCTATGTATTTGACCTGACAATCATTGCACACAGGGTATTAGATAAACTAAATTGTTTTGTTTTAAAGGCTGCACAGGATCCTTTAACCGACTAAGCTTGTTTCTAATTGAGTTTGTGGGTTTGAATGCCGTTTTTATTCCTGCCTTGTTGAGAATTCTGCGTAAAGATTCTGAGGTTCCTTCCTTGTATGGGATTACTACTGATGATTTAGATTCCTTATTGTTGGTGTCGTCATTAATATTATTATTATTACCACTATTATCATTATCATTATTATTATCACTATCGTTATTATCATTATTTATTTTATTTTTACATTTCCTTACATATTTCCTGACTAATTTATCCGGGTAATTATTGAGTTTCAAGGCTTCTTTTATGTGTATCACTTCTTGTCTTAGATTTTCCTTGGTGCTACTTAGTTTTTGTGCTCTGCCACTTAAACATTTCACCAATCCTACTTTTACTGACATAGAATGGGATGAACGGTAGTCCAAATATCTGTTTGAATGTGTGAATTTCATGTAAACACACTAGCGTGTTTAACTTCCCATCTTCTTTCCTTTTTACGTTGCAGTCTAACATTGGAAGCTCCCCTTCCTGATTTTCCAATTCATAAGTGAATTGAATTGCCTCCACCTTTTAGTTAATGTGTTCGGAAAATCTATTTATATCCTGTGTTTCCAGTACAGTGAACGTGTCATCTACATACCTTCACCATACTTTTG